GAAACAGCATAAAATAAAGGAAATAATTTGAAACAGGGTGCAGGATGGGAAGGGCATTGGTATATATGCATAAATCATTGCAGTTGGCAGAACAAGTCCAAAAAATGGTTAATCAAGGATACAGTGTCCTAACACTTAGCAATGCAGTTATTGAATACAAAAGTAAGAAAGTGAATTTAAATGGTTGAGGGAAATTGGTGGCTTGGCAGTAATAACTGTAGACCAGAACCCCAGTGACCTGGGCTAATATTTTTAAGGCATGGACTCAATTACCACTACAGTAACTTCAATTCAATTAATGAAATCTGGAATTCAAAATGTCATGATAATGATCTAAGAATCAATTGCTCATCAGGAATTAATTTACCCTGTGTGTTAGTTTATGTAAAACATATTGCAACGTATATGCAATGGACATAACATCAGACCAAATGAATTCTCTGTGCAGCTCAAAGATCCACAAAAGATTTACTGCCAAGTGGAGTTGCAATATATTATGCACACAGCACATTAAGTCCTGAAAGGTGAACTTTTTTTTAAAGACAACTCATAACAAAAAGGCAGCGCTGAATTTTACATGTTTTTGGCTAAAGAGTCAGTTTCATCCCAATTCATTGAAAGGTTGTCTCTGTGAGGTCTTGCGGGTTCTCTCATTGCAGCTAATCAAAGTCACCTCATTAACAACCTACTCCTATGATGCTAGTTTTGTCCAATTTTAGCCGCCTTCTGCCACATGCCATATATTGAACAACTGGCCACAGCTGAGACATGCTGCAATGGCTTGGCAAAACAGGTACCGGTGCCAGTTTTAAAAGGCATTGTGCACCCAGACAAGAGTTGCCCAGGATGGTTCATGACACTTGCCCTGGACATGGCACACAAGGAAAATTTGGTGCCTTGCTTTGTGGGCAAGGACATGGAGATCCTAGTGGATGGTACGGATAGCCTGGGAATTTCTTTCCCGGCAGTGCCAGAGGCTGAGGAGCGGCATTATAGAGGTTTATGAAGTCATGAGGTGCATGGATAAGGTGAATAGTCGAGGTCTTTTCCCCAGGGTATGGGGATCCAAAACTAGAGGACATAGGTTTAAGGAGAGAGGGGAAAGAATTAGAAGGGACCTGAGGAGCAACTTTTCCACACAGAGGGTGGTGCGTGTATGGAGCAAGCTGCCAGAGAAAGCATTTGAGGTAGGCAAAATTACAACATTTAAAAGACATTTGGACAGGTACATGAATAGGAAAGATTTAGAGGAATATTGGCCAAATGCAGGCAAATAGGACTAGTTCAGTTAGGATGCCTGGTTGGCATGGAGGAGTTGGACCAATAGGTCTGTTTCCATGCTGTATGACTCTGTAACTCTCTAACTCTATGTTCTTACCTAGGCCAGCAGAGGAGGCCATGGCACCAGACGATGACAGCCTGGTCTGAGATTGTCTCCTAGATCAATGAAGTCTCAGCCGTCTAACTGGAATGCTCAGCACTGCCAGTGTATGTGCCAACATCTTCTCACCAATACCTCACATTCTATTTCTGCTACTGTGCCCACCTCCCATCAAGGTTCATACTTTACTAAATTCACTATTGCCTCTGACATTTTCTCACATTCAGTCATTCAACCCAACCCTTGATAGCACTAATCCTGCATTCCTTACGCGCTGCCTACTCACTCACTCGGGACACCAGTGGTTAGCACTGCTTCCTCACCAGAGCCAGGGGCCTGCTTTCGATTCCACCCTCGGGCAACTGTCTGTGTGGAGTTTGTACATTCTCCATGTGTCGGCGTGGGTTTCCTTTGGGTGCTCTGGTTTCCTCCCACAGTCCAAAGATGTGCAGGTTAGGTGGATTGGCCATGCTAAATTGCCCATAGTGTCTAGTGACGTATACATTAGATGGATTAGTCGTGGGGTAACAGGGTTACAGGGTAGGGGGTAGATCTGCAAAGGATGCTCTTTGGATGGTCAATGTGGACACAATGGGCCGAATGGTCTGCTTCTACACTGTAGGGATTCCATATGAATAAAACTCTGGCTCCCCACTTGCACCAGCAGCAACAGCCTTGCTACTTGCTCTCACCTCCCTTATTACCTGCTTCTTTCTCTCAGTGAAGGAACAAATACAACCACAGTAGGGCAGAAAGCATGGTAGCTTGCCAGACTTTCAGTTTTTCACGTTTTTTTGAAAAAAAAGAAAATTCTGACTCTGACCACCCCGAGCAACTGTTTACCCATGTCCAAGTTCCTGGACTGGTATCAGAGATTAGACTTGACTTACCATACTGTAAGCCGCTAATTTATTTCCCTTGACTTGAGTGAGGATTGCTACTAACATTGACATGTTTGTCTCTGTGCTATACAGCAAGACAATATTACAGAATTGTGAACCTGGCTGAGAAGCAAAGCATAAAAAGAGTAAGGCAAGGCAAAGTGAGAAAATGCAGGGATGCAGCATTTGGATGATTGTTACTGATGCAACCCAAGGTGCAATATTGAAGAGTAGAATATTCAAGAAACTTGATACCATCTGGGACAAAGCAGCCCACTTGATTGTCACCACACCCACAAATATCCACTCCCTCCTCCACCAAGGCTCAGTAGCAGCAACATGTCCTATTTTTACAAAATGTACTGAAAATATTCACCAAACATCCTTAGACAGCACCTTTTAACATAGGACCACTTCCATGTAGAAGGGCAAAGGCAGCAGATACATGGGAACACAATCACCCACATGTTCCTCACCAAATCACTCACCATCTTCACCTTCCTGCCATTGTCATTAGGACAAAATCGTGGAATTCTTTCCCTATCAGCATCGTGGGTCAACCTGCACCAAATGGACTATAATGGTTCAAGAAGGTATCTCACCACCACCTTCTCAAAGGCAACTAGGGGTCGGTAATAAATGCTAGCCTAGCCATTGATACCCACAGGTGAATTTTAAACAAAGTGGACTAGAAGTGGATTGGAAATGTGTCATGGGGATTTTTCAAGGCTGACACATATGATACCAATGTCCATGGATCTGGGATGCATCTGGCTGCTGCATGTGGATCATGACCTGAATTGTTGATGCCTCATATTCAACATGAAACCTCTTTGCAGCCAGTGGTGAGCTGAAGTTCAGGTACTCACTCTGAATTCCACATGGAGAATTCAGTGGCTAGTTTGCTTGCAGTAATTTGGAAGAAAAAGGCTGAATATTAGTGAGGCAAGATGTGCAGTTAATAAGGTTGTTAATAGGCAATAATCCCCTAATAGGCAAATCATTGCTGCCAAGTGATAGTTGCATCTTAATGCCTGGGACTTAGTAAAAAGATGCTAAGGCTTGTTTCTGATGTTGAAATGGGCATCATCGAACTTCTCATGGGAATCTATCACATTTCATACCATAGCCCATGTCATTTAAGCCCCTAAAAGAGTCCACCTAACATTTCAGTAAGGTTATCATAAAATGATCATTAATCGCCACTCTTAACCATTCTGGGCTACGTGTAACTCCAGATCTTCAGAAAAGTGTTTGACTCTTAACTGCTCCTGAAATGGTCCAGCAAGCCATTCAGTTCAAAGGCAGTTACAGATGTAGCAAGAAATACTGGCCCTACTGGTGTTGCACACACCTGATGATTGAATAAAGAAACACTTCCAGGAAACACTGTTTCTTTCTCAACTAGATTATTGTGTCCATTCCTGGGCATCACACTTTAGGAAGGATGTAATGGCATTGCAGAAGATGTAGAATGGATTCATGATAATCATTCCAGGGATGAGGAACTTTAATGGAATCGCTAGACTGGAGAAGTTAGGGTTGTTTTCCTTAGAGAAAAGAAGGCTAAAAGGAGATTTGCAAGAGGTTCTTAAATCATGTGGGACGGTATTGGTGTGGACAGAGTTAAGGAGAACTGCAGTTACTGACAGAAGGATCGAGAACGTGGGCAAGGGAATTGGCAAAAGAAACAATGGTGACACAAAGAACAACGTCTTCAGGCAGTGCGTGCTTAAAATCTTAAAATGCTGGTGTGAGAATGTAGTGGAGGCAGGTGCAATTGAGTCATTGGATTAGTAATTGAAAAGGAAGTGTATGCAGGGCTATGGGGAGAAGGGGGAAAGAATTGCAATATGTAAACAGCTCCTTCACAGAGCTGAAACAGAAATCACTGGCTGAATGACTTCCTTCTGGGCTATGACCATTCTATGACTCTATAAGCCTAGTCAAAACAGAATAAAATTTCTGATCTGGATGGATTGCGTCCAAGTCTTTTGACAGAATCTAGGAAAAAGCTAGAAGAGGCATTGCTATGTATGTGTACACATTCACTAAAAAGTGTGGGGCCAAAGGACTTCCAGTTGCCTATGTAACATTGATAGTTACAAAGCTCAGTCGTGGGAAAATAAAGAAGGAAAGAATGAAGGAAAGAATCAAAGAATGTTTAGATATGAGAAATATGATGAATAATCAACTGGTCTCTTCTTTCAAGAAGAGTCTGACAACGTGCAGCACAGTGAGGGACTTGAAAATCATGAAGGGTTTTGATATTAAATAAAATGGTTGCTCCTGTGGGGAATAAGGTAACGATATATCATCAACGTAAGATTGACTCCAGCAAATCCAAAATGGAATTCAGAAAAAATATCACCCACAGAGAGGTGGGAATGTGAGCTTGCTGTGAAAGGGTGTGGTTGAAGCAAAAGTATCGATGAATTGAAGGGAAAATTAGACAAGTCTATGAGGGACGAGATAGCAGTTTTTGATGAGAAAAAATGGAGAGGTTCAAGTGGAGCTTAAACACCAGCATGGGCTAGTTGGGTTGAATGATCAGTTTTGTTGTAAAATGACCTGTCACAATATTGACAGCAGGTATATTTTCCATACTGACATTATGTTCAACTCAATAACTCTTTAAGATCAACAGAAATAAACAACAATAGCAAAGAAAAGGAAGTTTCCGGAGAAACTCAGCATCTGTGGAGAGACAGTGGAAATAAACAACCTTAAGACGTAAATTTTCAAATTTAAGAACCATTTTATTAGAAAGTTTTTCATTTCTATCTTTATTAAAGTCATACAATTTAACATTGTCATAAAAATACAACACATTACAAATGATTGATACTTTATAGCCTAGGAATTGAAAATCATCTAGATTAAAGTGTAATCCCAGTAGTATTCCTAAAAGGGTTCTTGTGTTGTCTTTTCAAGGTGCCAAATAGCTCACACGATTGGAAATTGCATATCTGTACATAATCTATTACAATTCCAAAATTAGAAACGTTTACAAAGTACGTTAAAATTACAATGTTTCCTCATGAGAGCCAGAATGGGGAGAAATTTTAACAAGATAGAGTAACTCTTTTAAAATCGCACTGAAAAACTTTGAATGAAAAGAAGTTTTTTTTAGATTACTTTTGCAATTGAGTATCCACATGTTGAATTTTTACATGACTCGTGGGTATGTATCTCATTTCAGCTAGTGAACTAACACTGCAATAATTCACCCTCCTTTAAAAAATGTTCAAAGCATATACATACAATTAAGCTTGTTTTAATATAATTTTATCCCAAAGTGATTTGTATAAGATTTTGTTCCGTGTAAATCATGTATTTATATAAAAAAAGCGTTGTAGTGCCACTTAGTCACTTACAATTTTTTTTACAATAAAGTGTTGTAAAGGTTAGAAATATTCATATTAAGTATGAAAAAATGTAAAACAGACAGACAAGAGAAACAAGCTGTATAGATGTCTATGTATGCGAAAGTGGACACATTACGTCCGCACAAAGTTAGCACCCAGATTCAAAGTTTAGCACCATTATAACATGCAGCTTTAAAAGATTTCAACCTCTTCAACATTTGATTATTGAAAGCAATTAGAAATACAGTGCAAGGTATCTGTTTAACCCTTAACATACTGGGATTGATGGCAGCCTGTAGACGCTGGCTCCGATCAGAGGTATATGTAGGGCCTTGTCTCCATTTCACTTACGTTCCCATTGTAGTTACCATTCTGGTTTGAATCCGTCCTTAAAAACAACCAAAAGTATTTTATGTTCTTTCCTTAAAAGTATTTGTGTGCATAAATGGAGCCGTTGGCTAAATATAATCATAGCACATAAACAGCAGTTAGATGGGGTTAATTGTCAATTTGAAAGTCAAACAAATGGAGGGGTATTTTGTGAACAGTACTTAACTTTGGGAATCTCAGCTTAAGACGGCTCTAACTGGGTCACCTGTAGTCAACCTCCATTGTTCTGTGATTCACAACAAATCACTTTGAGCAAGCCTGGGGCACTTCATGATAGAGTGCATGGAATACACTTTATTCACACACAGCGCAGATGAAAAGTATACACTTAATAAAAAGTAGCTTCTGGTTTCTCAATCTTCAGAGCTGTTCAACAAATTCTTGAAATATGCTCTTTGCCTACTACAGAGTTACATTTCACGGATTGGATATGAAGATCCATCTATCTTCAAATCCTTTAAAGTTGCCTATTTACAGAAACAGATTTGATTGCTTACTACAGGAAATTTTCAAAAAATCAATTTGGTGTTATGTTTGTTTTTAAATTGTTCAAAGGCCAATTTCATTGAACAGTTAGTTATCTCAACATTTTCTCATACGATGTTTAATTATTCCCTCTATGAGTTTTATAGTAGTCATTAATGTCATACATTATTACGATTGATACTGTTATAATCATGTCTCCATCTTGAGGCATCTGATTTTTTTTTGCATATAAGAAAGCTCAAACAATTATAATTAATTGAATCAATTATTCAATTAAATCATTACCCTTTAAGTCATCAATGTATCCAAACAGACTGAAATTCTATACTGGCACAGTGTATTCTGAAATCAGGACTGAGGAGTTTGTTAGGGCAGAATACATGGACATTTAATCTGCATATAACTAATACTATAGTTGTAGTTTAAGAAAAAGCATAAAACGTACCTCTGGTTAAAAACAAACATTTGTAGTATATTGTCTCAGACTTAATCTCTTGGGCAATAGAATAAATGCTCTTAATAGTTGTTTACATATAAATTAACGCAGGAGGCAAGATTCTAAAGCTCTGGGCCCACTGCCATCCTGCCTATGTTTTCATGAGAAATAATGAAGGTGCGTACTAAATCCTCAAATTTTTTTATCCTATTGTATCCTTCAAATTGTTAATGTGCTATGTTCTCCTGTAAAATGTTATTTCTGACATGTCAATAGGCACTAGTTTCCATATATATTTTTGATCTCCCAGGGGCATTGTCGGATTGATCCTTGAAGATTCTTTTCCATGTCCAGAACAGTAGCCTTGTAGAATTTAATAAGAAGCGCTAGGCAGGGAAATATGGTTTCTACTAAACTGTCCTGCATTGGCACTGCAAATTGCTTACCTTCAGCACATGCCTTGGTACATTCATCCTGTGTATTGAACCTGTTTGCATTGCCATTGCATCCACCATACCAGAACCGTGTGCACATTTTAGTCTTTACATCATAGTACCACTTAAGGGAAAAATTTCGGCAATTTCCTTCATCCCGATGTAGTTGACATATATCTTTAACTGTGAAAACAAATATAATATAGGGGGACATTAAACAACTGAGTACAGCATAATACAGGATAATTCAATTTTGTTAATATAGCAGCTTAAATGGATGAGAAAAGAGAGGTGGAAAACAACTCTCCAACAAGAGAGAACTTAACTGATATTCAACGGCATTACCATCACTGAATCCCCTATTATCAACACTCTGGGGGTTACCATTGATCAAACACAGAACTGCTGTCGCCATATAAATACTGTGTCCACAACAGCAACTCAGAGTCTAGGAATCCTGCAGTGAGGAACTCAACTCCTGACTCCCCGAAGCTTGGCCACCATCGACAAGTCACAAGTCATGAAACTTGCCAAAAATGACATCTAGTGGATTTCTGGTAAGATTCAATCCTCACTCCCCCCACCTACCAATTCTCAGTTGCAACAATGAGTACCATCTGCAAGACACACAGCAGAAATTTCTGAAGGCTCCTTAGACAGCACCGTCCAAACCCACAACCACTACCACCTAGAAGGATAAGGACAGAAGGTACAAAGGAAAGCCATGCACAAGCCACTCACCATTCTAAACTGGAAAAACATTGTTGTTCCTTCACCGTCATTGGGTCAAAATCCTGGAATTCCATCTTTGATATCATTGTGGGTGTGCTTACACCAAATGGACTGCAGTTCAAAAAGGTATTCACTACTACCTTCGGTAACTAGCTATGGGCAATAACTGCTGGTTCAGCCAGAGACAGCCACATGCCATCAGTGAATAACGAAAAGTAATTATTACATAGAACAAAGCCCTCTCCAATCTCCTCTCCAATGTATTTCATTCAAATACCAGTCACGCTTCCTGAACTGTACTATTTCATTTCTATAGCAAATATCCATGTGCATTGCACTGAAGTTGTAATACAGCAGCAATTACTGCAGAAATATCATTGTTCTAATGCACTTCACTCATTTGATCTTCAGCCCATGTCCTAGTGTGCACTAAATCTCTTTCACACATCTCTGTGCTTGCTCACCTAGGCTGATTTCAGTATTGCATCTATTTTTTATTTACACCCTTATTTTCAACTTCCTCTTTGTCCTTGCGCATCCCTTATTCTGTAATCTTCTTCAGGACCAAAACCCTTCAAGACATCTGCTCTCCTCTTATTCTGGCCTCTTGAGTATCTCTGATTTTAAATTGATCCACCATTAGAGGTTGAAGCGTCAGCTTTCTAAGTTCTATGTAATGTAATCTTCTCCTGAAACTTCACCTTCCTCCTTTAAGGCTTAAACCTTATCTCTCTTTCATTACAAAAAACATCAAATTCCATGTTTATATCTCTTATTTGCTCATTTGGCCTAACATCTGCTTAAGTGGTTCAGGGCCATAGCTTGTATTTAGAAGTCTTGCCCTAAATTCTGGCAGATCCTAAGTTTTATTTAAAGGATGGTGTAGTATGAAGGACCAGGAGTGGAAATCCTCTTTTGTGTCAGATCGTTATAGCCCTTGGCTTCCCAACATTTCAAAACTCTATCTACCTCATTTTTGAACACTTTCAGTGATCTAGCCTCCACAATGCTCTGGAATTGAGAATTCCAGACATTCACTACCCTCTGTGAGAAGAAATACCTTCACATCTCAGTTTCAAACAAATGTCCTCTTATACTGTAACTGTGCCACCTAGTTCAAGACTACCCCACTAGAGGAAATATCTCCCAAACATCTAACCTACCAAGCCCCCTCACAATCTTGTATGTTTTAATAAGATCCTCATTCTTCCTAACCCTAATGAATAATAGGCTTAACCTGTTTAGCTGTTCCTGATGAGTCAATCCTATCATCCTAAGAATTACCTCATTGAATCTCCTTTGTAATACCTCCATTGCCATCTATCCTTCTTTAAATATACGGAGCAAAATCCCGTACACAGTATTCCAGGTGCAGGTTCACCAACATTCTGTGCAGTATCCTGTACAGTTATAACAAGACTTCCCTATTTTAAACTCCAAACTGCCAGCAAAAAGGCCAATATTCCATCTGTTCTTCTAATTATTTACTGCATCTGCAAGCTAACTTCTTGTGTTCCATGCACAAAAACACCCAGATCCCTCTGCACTGCACTCCATTTAAACAATAGTCAGCCTTTTGATTCTTCCCACCAAAGTGCAAGAATTCACACTTTCCTACATTAAACTCCATCTGCCAGGTTTTTGCCCACTCATTCAACCCAGCTATAACCCCCTAAAAATTCCTTATAAGCTCGTAACAACAAGTCCTCCCAGCAATTTTTGTTTTATTGGACAAGCAAACATTCCCATAACAACAATTCTGAGGTTTATACAGTACCAGCTCCAGTACAGCATTCAGTGTCTTTTTAAATTCTTCCTGATAGGGTGAGAGTCAGCACAACTGAAAACACAGAGTGTTTTACGTACACTGCATCCAATGTCAGTATTTAGCCATTCCACCTCAGCTCCAACAAAGAGCTGACACAGGGTAAAGCTTCATCAGCACTGCCCCATCACTCAATCTTCAGGCAGTCATAGTTACTACTTCATCTTCATTACAGAAGTTGCCTTCTGGGAAGCTGTAAATTAACTTGTGTAGCACAAAACTGGTGTAATTAGTTCGGTTTCTCATGTTGCATGTGCCTGATTTTATTTTGCATTGAAATTCATGGAATGAAGAAAACCAAATGGCTAATCTGATCATGTCAGGTTCCTACTGGGGGATTAAGTTAATATTAACAACCTCCTCTTGCCAACTTCCCATGTTCTGATGGTGAGGAATACAATACTTCAGGTGTGATGCATAAGATTCCTTTAACATTGCTCTATCAAATACTCTTTCCTCAGAGAGTACAGGTTACATACAATGGGAAGTTTCCTCTATACTAATTGTACGGTGCTATCTCTTTATTACATTTGTACATGAAAGAAAATAGGAATAGACGAAGGCCACAATCCCTCAAGCCTATTCATCACTCAGTTAGATCATGGCTGATCTGTAATTTAACTCTAGGAATCTGCTCTTTGCTCCATATCTCTAAATGCTTTTAGCGATCAAAAATTGATTTAAATTTAAACATTGATTATTGAATCCCTACAGTGTAGAAACAGGCCACTCAGCCCAGTAAGTCCACGTCAACCCTCTGCAGAGCATCCCATGCTGACCCACATCCCCTACCCTAACTCTGCATTTCCCATTGCCAATTCACCTAACCTGCACATCTTTTGACTATGGGAGGAAACCAGAGCATCTGGAGGACATAGGGGGAATGTGAAAACTCCACACAGACAGTCACCGAAAGGTGGAATTGAACCTGGGTCCTTAGTGCTGTGAGGCAGCAGTGTCAACTACTAAGATACTGTGCTACCCCTATATAGCATCTATTATTATTGGTAGAAAGAGTTCCGAACATCTCCTACAGTTTGTGTGGAACTGCTTCCTAAATTCACTCATGAAAGGTCTGACTTAAATTCTTGTACTGTTCTCTAGTCCTAGACTCACAAAGCAATGAAGATCGGGCACGATAAGGAAAAACTGTGTTCCCCTCAATAACTTGAAAATTGAACTCAACTGTATTATGACTGCCATTAGATAAATGACATTGTTGAGCTGTGAAGTTAATCCGTTAATTTGTATACTCAAGATAGCATGACACCACCCCCAACTCCCCTACCCGCCACACACCCCCACCCCACCCCACCCCAAAGACTCAATTCTTTTCCTGTCTCCAAATTATCGATGCCATCTGTGGAAAAAATACAGAGAGGCTGACGAAATCTTGCAACAGGCTGACTGATCTGTTACAACAGAGCCAGCTGTAGTGGATTAGGTATTTTTCTCTTTTTTTTATTTCCTTTCCTGGAACTATATTGACATTGATTCCTTCTTTTGAGAATTACATTCATTTATATGCATCGCTGATTATTCATTTGTCATTTTTCTTTGTGATCTTGAGAACATTGAAACCTTCTGGACACCTTTCCTTCAATGGAAATTTTGATTACAACCACTGGACGAGTAAGCAGTGTTAACTGCCAGCTCTCTTTCGAAATTTCCAACATAACTTTACTGCATGCAAATGTGTTTTTTCTCGCCGTACACGTCTAATGATTCAAAAGAGAATGGGATAATAGTTTGATTTTCATATGCAGATCTTGTTAGAAATGAGACTGGCACACATAGAGACTGAAATCATAACACAGTCCTTTGGGACACAATGGTGCTGGGGTAGAGAAGTAAGGGAAGAGTTGGAATCTATAAAATTCAACAATAAAGGCATGATACTGGATGAGTATTCTGAAGTCTGGTTGTGAATCTTTGGACAAAAAAACATATTTAATCAATACCTTCCCATCAGGAAATTAAACGGAGGAGGTAAAATTGTTAGAGTGGATGGCGCATGATCGACAGAAGGTGCACTTACGTAGACCAAAAGTACTGTACCTTGCTTTGTGGTCATGTGCAGGTTCCAAATGTGGACCTTCACTCACTTATTTCCTCTCAGCATCTTTCTGCTGTGATCAAATGGCCACAGATGTTCACAGAGAGCAGTAATCTCTTAACTCTGTTGGCCAACATTACCAACTTTCAAAGAGTAAAAGGCAGATGATGCCCGACTGAATGCATCCACATAATATACCACACACCCCACTTCCATTCACACTACATACAGTGCACCCATCCAAATGGCAAAAAAGATTAAGTGTAGACCCCATTTAACATATCACACCAGATGTACTCGATCAAATGAATGACTGTATTAAGCACACACATTCTATACCTCTTCTAAATGATATCATTCATTATGATTGCATCTGCTTGCAAATGTCAATACAGACCCTAAACAGGAGAGTCGAGTTTGTCATTCTCTCTATTAATATGCAGCATTCAGGGAGTTCTTATTGCTGGAGGTTCCAGATGATCCAGGAAACAAATTAAGCTCCAAGGAAACAGCCTTGTTTACGAATTAATCTATGTGTCTCCATTACCAGTTGGAGAGATTAAGGCTTCCATTAATTCTCAAACAGTCTAGAGGAATTAGTTGAATCAGTCTTGTTTTTCATTCTGTCCTGACACAATAGCTACATAGGAACAGGAGTAGGTCATTCAGCCCATCAATCCATAAACATACTCAAAGACTGTGCTTCCACAACACTCTAGAGGAAGGCATTCAAAAGATTCACAACCCTCGGAGTAAAAACAATTCTCCTCATTTTGGTCCTATGACATAGAGTCATACAGTCATTCAGAACAGAAACAGACCTTTAGGTCCAACTCATCTGTGCCGACCAGGCAGCCCAATCTGACCTAGTCCCATTTGCCAGCATTTGGCCTATATACCTCTAAATCCTTCCTATTCATATATCCATCCAGATGCCTGTTAAAAGCTGTAATTGTACACACCTTCACAAGTTCCTCTGGCGGCTTGTTTCTGTACATGCATTACCTGCTGCATGAAAAAGTTAGCCCTCAGATCCTTTTTAAATCTTTCCCCTCTTACCTTTAGTGCCCTCTAGTTTTGTACTCCCCCCGCCCTAGGAAAACAACCTTGGTTATTCACCCTATCCATGGCCCTCACGATTCAGTAAACCTTTATAAGGTCACCCTTAGCCTCAGATGCTCTGGGGATTAAAAACACAGCCTATTCTGCCTCTCCCTACAACTCAAACCCTCCAGTCCTGGCAATGTCCTTGTAAATCTTTTCTGCATCCTCTCAAGTTTAACAACATCCTTCCTATAGAAGGGTGACCAGAATCGTAAGCAGCATTCTAAAAATGGCCTCACCACTGTCCTGTACAGCCACAACATGATGTCCCAACTCCTATACTCAATGTTCTGACCAATGAAAGCAAGCATAACACCTTCTTCACCACCCTGTCTGCGTGCAACTCCATCTTCAAGGAATTGATTTTTGAATTGTGCCCCTGGTTCTAAAATCCCCTACCAGCGAAAACACCTTACTGCAGCAACTCTGTCTGTCCCTTTCAATATTTTGTGAGCTTCTGTAAGATCATCTTTCATTTTTCACTCACACACACACACACACACAAACGTGCGTGTACACACACGCATGTGTATATACACACGCACGCAGTTTTCACCCTTGGCCCATATGATCATACAAAATAAGAGCAGAAGTCAACCACTCAGTTCCTTCAGTCTTCTTCACAATTCATGAAAATTATGACTGATCTGTTTGCATTAAAATCCCCACATTCCCACCTATCCCCATCGATTCCCTTGTCTAACAAGAATTGATCTACCTCTGCCTTAAAAATATTTAATGACCCCACTTCCACAGCCTACTGAGCAAGAGTTCCAAACTCACATAAGCCTCTGAGAGAAAATATTTTTTCTCATCTCCTCCTAAAAGGGTGAGCGCTAATTTTAAAACATTGCCATCTAGTTTTGGACTGATCCACAAGAGGAAACATCTTTCCCAGATGCACCTCTCAGGATTCATTCAGGATCTTGTACACTTCAAACAAGTGACTGTGACCCTGGCTAACATCTGGTGACCTCAACTTTTCTCTCTCTCTCCATTTTCTGTATTCCTCAAGGGACATCAAGTGGTCTCCTTTCCCTACTTATGCCTATTTTTCTCTCACCCTCATCCAATCTTATTTCTGCTTCTCTATTTCTTTACAGAGCTTGTCCACAAAAGTATGAGGAGAACAGGCACTCATTTTGTTGGATGGCCAAGGTGCTGATACCTATGAAGACCAGGTAGCACTTACCTGATAATGTGATTCCAGCAGGCTTGGGTTCTGATATGTTTTCTTCTAGTACTGTGGAAGAAAATGGTTGAGATACTTAGTTTTATCTTGTTCCAGTCAGCCATTCTCTAAAACATCTGCAAGAAAAACAATTAAACAGTGGACAGTGCTGATTCTAGGCAATTTGGCGTATTCCCTCCCCGGCTATATTACTTACTTGTTTTTGTGCATTCTGTAATGCACTCAGCTTCTGTGTCAAACCTATTACCATTACCGTCACAGCCGCCATACCAGAACTGAGTGCAGATGTTGTTTTTGCTGTCAAAGAACCATTTTGCACTATACTCTAAGCACTGCGATCCAGCGTCAAAATCCAGCATGCACCGATCTGTGAAATTTATGTGTAAAATATGAATTGTTAACACAAACTATTTGAAAAAAATGGGATAAGGCAATGCTAATGCAAGTTGAAAAGTCATTACTGTCACCTCATTGGTGTTTGGTATCATCATGGCCGGCAATTTTTCATTTGTATTGTAACATCGCTGCAAGAGACAAGGTTCACCTCCAGCAGCAACAATGCAGTACTGGCAGTGCAGAGTTTGTTCATCTGGTGACATAGGGACCAACCTCAAGAGGTTGACAGCAAATATAACTAAAAAAAATAGTGCTGTGTAGTATAATTTCTCTTCATCTGTGTAGGAGTCTCGCCTCTTGACTGGTCCACATAAGGTAATAAAGCAGTTTATTGCATAGTAGACCTGTATGGAATGTTTCCAACATGTGGAAAGGCTCACAGCCATATGCATACATACTCAAAGCCTCCAAGTCTCCCTGTATTGTACTGAATCCAGCTAGACTGCAACTGAGGTGATTTCCGACCTGCAGTCAAATTGCAGCATGTACTAACTTTGTTAAATATTACCAGGCCATATCAGTCATTTCCTAGAACCTTTTGACTTTCTTTACTCACATAACAAGAAATGTATGTTGCAACATTACAAGCCAGTGTTAGAATAATTTGTCCAGTAAGCCATCTCTGATGTGAACTAAAATGTCCAGTATATTTATAAAATCTTAATGGATTGCATATTGTTAACAACACTCAAAGAAAATCCTGCTTGGCTCAACGTAAAGAATAAAAAGGGAAAGAAGTGAAATGGAATGAAACAGTTCCTGTAGTCAGAGTGAATACTCTGCTGAAAGAATTCTGGCTTGAAGGATTGATTGTTGATAACTACTGGGAAAGGAATTGCTGGGAATTGTGCCAGCAATCAAGTTTCTACTACACTTCAATATGTATAACTACTTGATAATTCTGTAGAATATACAGCATTGGAATGAGTTATTCTATCCAGACATGCAATTCACGCTCAATATCAGCTGTACCAATCCTTCCTCCTTTAACATTACCCGCATGACTAACTATTCTTTTCTTCCTTATATGCTTATCTATCTTTCCCATAAATGCATATTGTTTGTCTTAAACACTCTGTTTGGCAGCAAATTTCATATTGACCTCTCTGATTAAGCATATTTCTTCTGAAATCCGTGTCTGTCTTCTTGGTGAATATCTTGCATTGATTGCCTTTAGTTGTGTTCTTCAGCTTAAGTGAAAACACAAACTGCATGTCTAGTCTATAAAAACCTGTCACCATTTTAAAGACCTCCATTAGGACATCCTTTAGTCTTCTCTCTTCAAGGAAAAAGGGACCTAACCTGTTCATCTTTGCCTGACGGGCATTATCCTGGTAAATCCTATTTTCTGCTTCCCTCTCCCTTTTAGAATTAATATTGTTTTGAACCAAAGCTACGTATGTGTTAAGCATTCTTGCTCACTTTTAAAATTATCCCTCTGCCTACTGTTTGGTTTGATTTTTTTTGATGGACCTATTGGCCTTCTTTAACAATTTGTACATTTGTATTCCCAGGTCACTTTGCTCCTCTAACCTTTTCAGGGTTTTACTTTCCAAAAATATAATGCACCACGCTTGCTGAAATTCTCTGTCAATTACATACCTATTCTGAAAGTTTCTTATAATTTACTGGAATTCTTTACATAATTGGCACTTCTAGCCAGCCCTGCCGCAATTTTAGAAATGGTTTTGTTGAATGAAAAATTTAAACAATGGACCCTGCACTGATTCTTTTTGAACTATCTGTCACTTTAAATCAGTAGGGGCAGCAAATGCTAGCCTTGCACTGCGATATCCTATAGAAAAAAATAAAGAGCATCTTAAGTCCCAACATGCTAACATTTCCTCCACAAGCCTATCTCTCTCTCTCATCTTTTTTATGAAGATCCTTCAATCTACCTCTTTGACCAAGATTTTGGTCACTTTTTTAATATCTCCTTCATGGCCAGTATCAAATTCGTTTCATTATGCTCCTGTAAAGAGCTCCAGAGATGGTTTACTTAATTAAAGGTGGTATAGAAGTACAAACTGTTGAATTTCTGTGCTATTGCTATGTAGAAAATATTACACACCGAGGACCTTTTCGTATACCTTTTCGTATGCAATAACTGAAATAAACTAAATAATAACAAAAATTGCATACTTGACATTTCAACAAGGCTGTCCTCTCAATAAAAGAAAGCACATGATACTAGTGACCAATACTCCTGCTCAGGGCTGAGAATGCCACTTGGCAAAGAAACAGTGGCTTGGATTTAAAAAAAATACTATGTAGCATGGAGAATAGAATGAAGAAAGCTAAAGCAGTGAGAAGTTCGTAAGTAGTTACCTTCAGACAATTATGCTGCATTGGATATGTGCCACATAGCTGATTAAAGAGGAAAGTGAGATAATGGGGCAGGTTGGAAAGGTTGAAATGGTCACACAATGCAGGGAGGATACAAACATTAGAGTGACGCCAGGGAAGAAAGTGCAGTTGAGAACAGTCGAAAGTGTGATGGCAAGGTCACTTGACATTTGTGTCTAGCCTAGTCTACAGTGACCAATGAAATGATTATAAAGCACACATTCTCCCTATAACATTCCAGTTCTGTACAATTTGTATTACCAATACAGTCTTAGCTCGACTGCATTAGCCTGACTACTATTATAGACGCCAATATCACATACAGCCTCTCTACATCATACAATGCTGCTGCAATCTCCAAATTATAATTCACATGGCTGATGATAGAAGTCATTTACTATACACTGTATACTGGATTATATAGGGACACTATAATATTCGATTGGAATACAAAAATAAGGTTTAACAAAAGAATATTTATAGCTCAAAATCAAGAATGAATTTGACATGTTCACACAAATTTCCACTTCACTGCTATTATGCGTATGTTGAAACAACATCCATTAACACTTACCTGTTTCTGGGTGCTCTAATGGTTCCATAGCCTTGAGGGTAGCTGTGGTTTGGATGTTTTTTTCTGGGGATTTTTCTAAATTTGGAAGGAAAACATATAGATGTTGCAAAACAAAAAGCTTCACACATAGCTCATACTGCATCTCATTGCAGCAAATGACGTTTTAAACTAATTGATTCCCTTCTAGTAAGTAATAAGTAAATTAATTTGACTGATACGAAGTTTTTAACTGTTGCTGGCCTACATCGAGATCAGAATGTGTGTATATTATAATATACACATAAAAATATTGTATATTATTGTGGACGGGATAAAACTTCTCCTGCTAGGTGACAAGCTCTTTGGAACAGAGCTACTTGACTGGTGCAGGTAGGGGGCTCATGGTGGCCCAGGCAAACATTCTGGAGACAAGGGTTCGAGTCCCACCACTCGCAGAATTTAAATTCAATTAACAAGAAAATAATCTGGGATTGAAAATAAAAAATGCTGGAAATCACAGCGGGTCAGACAGCATTGGTGGAGAGACAGAAAGTTAACGTGTCAAGTCTAGATGACTCTTCATCAGAGCTAATGTAATTTTGACTGTGAAACTATTGTTGATTGTTGTAAAATCCGATTTGGTGGTTGACAGAATGAAATCTGGGTTCCTGACCTGGCCTATATGCAACTCCATATCCACAGTAATGCGGTTGACTTCTCACTGCTCCCTCAATAGCCAACAAATCTTCTAGTTCAAGAGCAATGCAGGGATGGGCAACAAATGCTATTCAAATCCTACATCCCATGAGAGAATAAATTAAAGTCAGAATTAATTTCTCAGTGAGCAGGATCCTGAGACAAAATATTGCAAAAATAACCTTGAGCTTCCAGTTGCTGCCATTTCAACACACCACCATGTTCTCTCACCGACATTTCTGTCACAGGCCAGCTACGGTGTTCTAGCCAGCATTAGCGAAAGCTCGGAGAACAACATCTCATTTTCTGCTTGGGAACCCTGCAGCATCTGGGACTCAGTATCAAGCTTTAGAGATAACAATGTGTAGGGCTGGATGAACACGGCAGGCCAAGCAGCATCAGAGGAGCAGGAAAGCTGACGTTTCAGGCCTGGACTCTTCTTCAGAAATGGGGGAGGGGAGGGGTGTTCTGAAATAAATAGGGAGAGAGGGTGAGGCGGATAGAAGATGGATAAAGGAGAAGATAGGTGAAGAGGAGACAGACAGGTTAAAGAGGCAGGGATGGAGCCAATAAAGGTGAGTGTAGGTGGGGAGTTAGGGAGGGGATAGGTCAGTCCAGGGAGGACAGACAGGTCAAGGGGGAGGGATGAGGTTAGTAGGTAGGAGATGGGGGTGGGGCTTGAGGTGGGAGGAGGGGATAGGTGGGAGGAAGGACAGGTTAGGGAGGCAGGGACAAGCTGGGCTGGTTTTGGGATGCGGTAGGGGGAGGGGAGATTTTGAAGCTTGTGAAGTCCACATTGATACCATTGGGCTGCAGGGTTCCCAAGCGAAATATGAGGTGCTGTTCCTGCAACCTTTGGGTGGCATCATTGTGGCACTGCAGGAGGCCCAGGATGGACATGTCATCTAAGGAATGGGAGGGGGCGTTGAAATGGTTTGCGACTGGGAGGTGCAGTTGTTTAGTGCGAACCGAGTGTAGGTGTTCTGCAAAGCGGTCCCCGAGCCTCTGCTTGGTTTCCCTGATGTAGAGGAGGCCACATCGGGAACAGCGGATACAGTATACCACATTAGCAGATGTGCAGGTGAACATCTGCTTGATGTGGAAAGTCTTCTTGGGGCCTGGGATGGGGGTGACAGGGGAGGTGTAGGGGCAGGTGTAGCAGGGAAAAGTGCCGGGGGTGGTGGGGCTGGAGGGGAGTGTGGAGCGGACAAGGGAGTCATGGAGAGAGTGGTCCCTCCGGAAAGCAGACCCTCCACTCCTCCCCCGTTTCTGAAGAAGGGTCTAGGCCCGAAACGTCAGCTTTCCTGCTCCTCTGACGTTGCTTGGCCTGCTGTGTTCACCCAGCCCTACACCTTGTTATCTCAGATTCTCCAGCATCTGCAATTCCTACTATCTCTCAAAAAGTTTAGAGCCTGATTCCATTCTTCCATGTTTTTTACCCATCCCACACCCTGTCCTGTAATGACATGGGATGCTTTTAGCGCATCACTGCTTCCCATGTACTGCTAAGCCCATTATTACATTATATAGGTTGCATTTATCATAGCCAACCCATTTTCTCACTCTTAGCTCTTATTATCTCTTAACTTTTCTTCTCTCCTGGCCTGTTATTCATTATCTCCTTGTTTACCAACACCGTTCATATCTCTCTTTTTCTTGCTCTCTTTCTAGGCTCCATCTCCACCAATCCGCTCACCTCTCCCTTTGCACATCCCTCCCAACCCCCAACCTCATGACTGTGTGGAGTTTGCACATTCTCCCTGCGTCTGCGTGGGTTTCCTCCGGGTGCTCCGGTTTCCTCCCACAGTCCAAAGATGTGCAGGCTAGGTGGATTGGCCATGCTAAATTGCCCGTAGTGTTCAGGGATGTGTAGATTAGGTGGGTAATGGGGGACGGGTCTAGGTGGGATGCTGTAAGGGTCGGTGTGGACTTGTTGGGCCGAAGGGCCTGTTTCCACACTGTAGGGATTTGATTCGCTTTGATTCTCTCAATCTTCACTTCAGCTTCAGCACAAATACCACTTTTTTCCAGCAACTAACAGTTCTGATGAAGAGTCACCAGACTCGAAACCTAACTTTACTCTCTTCCCACAGATACTGCCGGTCTTGCTGAGTTTCTCCATGAATTTCTGGTTTTGTTTCAGATCCCCAGCAGTTCTTTGTTTTATATTATTGTTGCAAAATTTTGCTGGAAGAGCTTCTTGCTGCATATTTATTACATGTTATCTACTCAAATGTCATTATGCATTTTATTTCAAGGTAATTGGCAAAATAAAAACAGGGACAAGGTGAGAAAAAGCAGATCTATGCAACAGGCTGTCAGGTTCCATGCAAAGCGAAACTAATTTGGTTTCTCTTTCAAACTAATGCTTTGGCATGACGGACTTACAGCATTCAATGGGATACAATAGATGTAGGTTTAATTTACACCTAACCTGTCCTGTGTTTGAACTGTATCAGTTTATACTGGGTGCTAAGATGAGAAAAAAGATTTTTTTTGTTGATATGGTGCAATTGCAGATTAATATAGATTTTAACAGAAAGTATTCAGTCAGATGTTTTAAAAAGTCATTTGCTCCCTTGGTTGGCTTAGATAGAATTCATTACTCACTGGTTGTAAAAGTTCCATTGTAAATAGATTTTGCCTTGGACTGATAGAATCCTATCACAATTATATCATATTGCTCCCCATCTTCCAGATCTCTTAGCACGATCACAGGATCACTGACATTTATCTTCAACACAAGAAGGTTCTCGCTCACTTTGACCACTGTAACCTCATAATTATTAATGTGTTGAGGTTCAGTCTGGGCCATGTGTAGGACAATGCTGTCTTCTGTGACACTGAAGCTCGATAATTCCAAGCCTATTGCAACAGATCGAAGATAGAAGCGGAGAGAAGTCAGATGTATTAAAAACAAAATCATTTGATATTTCAGTTTGAAAAGCATAAAAAAACAAACAAGACAATATCACTCCATTCAACCTGTTCTTTTCACACAATGTCTATCATTTTCTGGATAGTGAACCATACTTTGTGGATGTATATACCCTGAGGAAAATCTGTACTAAACTCCCGAATATCTGTTTAATTTTGCGTTCCTCTAGTCATACCATCTGCCAATCAACAGTCTATTCATCTAGAAAACCGCCTGCCTTAACTGTTGGATATTGATGCTGTGATTTGCTTTTTCTGTCTATATCAGACAGAAAGAAACAGAAGGCAGATGTAGATATGTTGGAGAACCTTTGATCAAAGGAAAGATAAATGGACCTTATCTTCTAATTCACAAATTTCATCTAATAATGAAAGAAACTCAAGCAAAAAAATGACAGGATTGCATGGCCTACTCATCTCTGTAACCATTTTGTTTAATCCTTCAGAAATCTATTCCCTTTTAACCCAAATGCCATATGATAGTAAAGAGATTTGTGATATTCTTTCTCAATGATAAGTTGACACAATTTATAAGGCAGTGAGCTCTTTTTTATGCTAGATTCCAATATAATTGTAATGATTACTGAACCTTTCATCTCCTCATACTTGTGTAAATCTTAGGCTAGTGGTAGGTATAGTTGGCAATATTTCCTTAAGAGGCCATTTAATAGCTCCAATTTCCATCTCAGTCATTTGAAGCACCAAATGCCACAGTACTACACTCAGACCAGAGGCACACATAATCAATCACCCACTGAAGCATATCACATCTGAGGGTATAATAGAATCACGATAATTGGTCTTGCTATCCATAGACTAAGATGGCTGGGCACATGAAACTGGACGTCAATCGACATTCCTAATATTTAGTTATCTTTGTTGGATTCTTTCCTTTGCAGACATAACATAAGAAATAGGAGCAGGAGTAGGCCATCTGGCCTGACAAGCTTGCTCTGCCATTCAATAAAATCATGGCTCATCTTTTTGTGGACTCAGCTCCACTTATCCACCCACTCACCATAACCCTTAATTTGTTTAGTGTTCAAAAATCTATTTATCTTTCTTTGCCCTAAAAACATTCAACAAGATTGTCTCAACTGCTTCACTGGGCAGGGAGTTCACCAGATTCACAACCCTTTGGGAGAAGAAGTTCCTCCTCAACTTAGTCCTAAATTTTCTCCCTTGTATTTTGAAGTTATGCCCCCTAGTTCTAGTTTCATCCACCAGTGGAAATAACCCCCCTGCTTTTATCTTGTCTATTCCCTTCATAATTTTATATGTTTCTATAAGAGCCTCCCTCATTCTTCTAAATTCCAATGAGTATAGTCCCAGTCTACTCAATCTGTCCTCATAAGCCAAACCTCTCAACTTCGAAATCAACCTCGTGAATCTCCTCTGCAACCCCTCCAATACCAGTAAGTCCTTTCACAAGTAAGGAGACCAAAACTGTAAACACCATACTCCAGGTGTGGCCTCACTAGAACCCTATATACAGCTGCAGCGCAACCTCATTATTTTTAAACTTCAATCCTCCAGCAAAAAGGACAATATTCCATTTGCCTTCTGAATTATCTGCTGCACATGCAAACCAACTTTTTGTGATTTAAGCACAAGGATTCCCAGGTCCCTCTGCATAGACACTTAATCAACTTTTGTCAGGAGCTAGCTACAGATAAGACTTGCGTGTATGCTTGACAAAGGTATCAAATGACTCTGTCATTGCTAAAAGTCTGATATAATTTTGCTATCCCAGTAGCCCCTCTCCCCACCATCCCAAAATGAATGCCAAGGGAATGTGGCATGGACTTCAAGAAGGAGCAGTGAGAAAAATGTACTATACTTTCCAAAACACCACGTGAAAAATAATAGTTTCTCACAAATCATGACGCATCACTAAGTCAACTTTGGAAGACTTAAATTCCAAGTTACAATTGAATATCAATCAGTTATAAATATTACACAATGATTTTAGGAGGTTAGTAAGATGTGTACAAACCAAGAAGCTTAAGGGAAGAATTAAGGTTTTATGGTACAAGCGTGAAAAAAGAATGGCAGAAGTCAAGTCAAGACAATAAAAGAAGGGACACCAAACTTAGATTTTCAAGGCACGTCGAGTGAATGGATGATAGATAAAGGGAGGTGGGGCATTTCCACAGTTTTGAGGTCCTGCAAACTATGAGTTTGGATCAGCAAAATTGAAGTGTGTTGATTCTTTCTTCAATGAACCTGTTGAGCTTGTCCTGCCCCAAACTAATGGCTCTTAATAATGGCAATAACTTACCCTTGAGTTTTTTTGAAGCAGCCGGCACGTCTTTTGTGCTAAACACACAAAATTAAAGAAAAATGATTAGTTTCACTAAAATAGGATTAAATATAAAAATCGAAGAAGTTCTGCAGCGGGTTTATACTTACTCCTGTTTGTGGGACTCTCCTAAAGCTTCATTGCTGGGCTGGTCACTTTGGAATAATCCGCAATGTTTCTGCAGTTCAGGAGGCAAGTGAAGACTATTCTCAGCTGGGAAGAAATAAATACTGTTTTAGCTCCTTTCATGTGGTATTAATATGAAAATCCTACCGTTTCCCTCAATGTTTAACTTGTGAAAGTCTACAGGATTATGGGACACTGAGCCACAGTGAGCAGAAAGTTTGGGTTAAGTTAGTTGATCCAGATTGAGTGATTGCAGGATCAATGCAGTTGACCTCAATCTCTGGATGATCACTTGAGAGATCGAAAAAAATCCAGGATTGATTTCCGTGAAGTACAGCAATACAGTAATCCTTTCTACTTTTCTAGCAGCTGAGTGAGAGAGAAAAAGACAGGCTCAGCATGATGCCTATCAGAGTTAAACAGTCTCACAGTTACAGGCCATATGAAGTAAGGCTGTTTGGATGAGGCATCGGAGTTTGTTAAGCATCTGTGGTACTGCATCCCAGCAGGAAGCATCTTTGGGAGAATTGGAAGTAAATGACAGGAAAAAATTAAAACAAATATGTGCAGCACCACAAGGCACTTGGGCACCAGTGCTATAAAAAGAAAGCTAGGAATCATAGGCTCACAGCAGGTAAATGGAAATTTCTGTCCCTTACCTCCCATGTTGGTTTTCTCACTGAAAGTGGTGTCAAAGCAAGTATTCCAGTAACAGAGATATTTAAAAGTCGCTGGTAGCTATATGACTACAAAATTAACCCTATATCTCTAACTGGTGAAAATTAATAATAGCCTAACTTAGTTTTACGTTACTTATTTACTTCGATAATATACTAATATACTTCAATAACATACTTCAATTCTCTTCTCTGCACTTTCAAAACTGGATACCTCTAGCTCTAAAGGTTCAAAGTAGCTGGATTACTGCTGTATAACAGCAAATGGTAAGGTGGAGTTTGTTTCTAAGAAGGGTGCAAAAAAACCAAAATTCAACCTGGAAAATATAACAAGCTGTATTTGATAATATTTGACTAATTTGTTTTAGTGTGTATTGTGAGGTTTTTAAATATTATATGAACATGTATGCAGTGCGTACTATCTACAAGAATGTAGCAACTCACTAAGACTGATTCAAGTGCATCTTCCACATCCACAACATCAATCCCAGTGACAGGGCACCCCTGAGAAGCTTTCTCTCAGCACTATCATACTAGCCTGTAACTTAGCTTCTAGTCACTATAAATTGATAGGAGTACAGTCCCAACTACATCAGTCATTTGACTTGCCTGACTTTTAACCTCTCCAAGTCAACAATTCATTTTCAAATAAAAATTGAACTAAACTGCAATATTTTACAAATATTTTTCTTTTAAATCCAATGATAAAATGTTTGTTAATGATTGCGACATGGCTCATTTTACCTATGCCCCCCCAAGCTGGGTATGGTGTGAACTGACAATTCTATGTGAACTAGCCAGCAAAAAGTTTAATCCAGAGTTCTCGAGATACTAAAGAAGGTGAGGATATTACAAGACATTGCATGTGAATGCTCCAGTGAAAACAGAACAGCTTCATCTCCAGCACCGAAAGCTCTGGTCTGATTTGAGGTAAGCTGCTGGCACAAAGCTGAACTTTTAGTGTATGACGGCAATGAAGACAAAGTGCTGAGTTAGAATGAAGAGTAACCATGAGGAGAGGCACATGTGTTTAATTAAGTTACCTCCACATCCTGATGGGATTGTTGCTGAGTGCCAAAAACAAGTAGAACAAAAACTAATTAAGACAATAATTTAATTATTTAACCAGTTTTCGAGCAGAAAAATAATTCTGCTACGGGGTTCCGTGGAATTTCTACATTGTTGGACAGCTGGCCACATAAGAAAAGCATCGAGGGCCCCAAAACCAGAGCAACGAGGGAAGCAAATGCATGGCACAGCACTCATTCAAGTTTCCTTTAAAGTTATTACACCATCCTGATTTGGAAATATTTCACTGTTCATTCAAAATCATGTTCAAAATTCTGGAAGTCATTTGTGAATTCTTAATAAATGCTGGCTCAGCAAGTGGCAACAAAATTGTATGAATACATTTTTTAAAAAAAACAAGAAGCTTGAGATATTCACCAAATCTGTTCTGAACTAAACTAATGGAAATATCTTTGATAGCATGGACCATGGAATGAGAAAGATATGCTCTTCCTTGGAGACATCAGCCATCACATTTCCCGTGATCAGTTAACTAAAGTTTATACTTTAAAAGTGCAATGGATATTTTGCTATGTTGAAAATTGGACTTTGGTTATTAGTAGTTCATTATGAAAAGACTGTCAGGATTGAACTGCCTGGAACAGTCAGGGTTTGTAGGCTGTATTAATATTCTTTCTGATTACCTGACAGCCTCAGACAACAACATTCCACCAAAATTACAACTGACATTTAAACCTGCACAACAGCATTGTATTATTTCATAATGTGCAATCATAAATACAGCTTGGTCCAGAAAGAAGATTACGTGGTTTAGGATACCAACCATGAAGAATCGTTGATAACGTTTAACATCATAGTTTCATTATTACACTAATGGATTGCAGTAGTTCAAGAAGGCATCTCACCGCCACCATCTCAAGGGCAACTAGGGACGGGCAACAAATTCTGGCCCAGCCAATGACACCCTTATCCCAAGAGTGAATTAAATAATCCTTTCTTTTCGAAGACTGTATTTATTTAGTGCGTTAAGAGTGTTACCTTGTGGAACCTTGTGCCAGCAATATAGGTTTGGTCACTGATTGAAAAGCCAGAGGCACCTGCACGTAACCTCCTTCTGAGAAGGTTTGATGGCATTATTTGCTGATCAGACACTTTGACTGGCCTGCCGTGGGTCTTTCCCTGGGCTCCAAGCCTCCAGGGTCAGAAATTTCACCAACAAGCAGGAATTTGATTGGCATTACCAACTGGTGCTTACTGTCAGAATAATAGCCCTCTTACGCCTAGAACCCAGGCCACAGTGAGTAACGATGGGTAAAGATTGGCAGGGAGAGGGTCTTTGGGACGGTCAAGGGCTGTTGGACAGGAGGGGGCACTCAGTAGGCTCTTCTTCCTGAAGCCTGGTCCTCCTAAAAGGCACTGGGAGTGGTAAGTAATCACAGATCCCCCAGTGACACTGGGCGGATACCAGCATGAACAAGATGAGGCCCTCAACTGGGCAATAATCACAACTCAGGGGGCTCAAGTTATGATGGTGCAGAGGGCCTTCTTATCACAGGTTTGAAAGTGAGAAGGTGGCACGACTCCCACTTGTTTGATCAACTGTCACATCCCTCCATAACTACCAAACCCTTCCCTGATTGAGGGGTGGGGGGATGGGGAGGGGAAACGCACAAGATTTAACCATTTTTGTCCCTTTCATTTTGGTTAAACAGTGGAAGCGAGTGAGTAACTGCAAAGTTACCATTGATGTACTTGGGGAGTTGTCGTCCAAACCTGAGTAATTCTTCATTGTGGAGTTCTGAGAAGTCATTAATTGGCCTGAAGTACACGTCTTGAGGGGCACTTGCCAGGTAAATGAGATTATTTTCGATAGATTTCTTGACAACATTGAATATAACAAAGAAGAAGCCTTTGCACTTGGCTTCAGTGACAACTGCCGCCAGCCTTTCTCTCTCAGCTTCTGGGAGATTTCCTGTGGTTATGAGAACAATGAGCTTGAGTTGCCTTGGTTGAACTGCTTTTTCAAAAATATTTTTGATGGTCCATTCGACCGCGTGTGCTGTTGCTCTTGTCCCTTCCAGCTGAGTCATCCTGTTGTGGATGTATTCTCTGATGTACGTACTGGAGTTGTAGTCAGTGAGGGACAAATCTACTTTCACTCGCTCCAATCTATTATTCTTCTGAGAATCGTACAGTGCATGTTGTACTACAGCAATTCTGGCCTTATGGTTTGATGTTAAAGGCTCTGTACTAATCTCCAAGTGATCTGTCACATAAGAAATATATCTCTTTATCTCTACAAACTGGTTTGGGCTGATGGTTTCAGAGCTTTCCATGATGAATGCAACATCTAGGTCTGTATCAGTGGGCTTTGTCGATCTTTTGCTTCGGAAAAATCTGGCATCACAGATTGCGTTCGGATCACAAAAATCTATGCAAAATAAAAGAAAAAAGATGTTCACTGTCAGTTAAACATCCACATTTTATTGAGTGAGTAAAATTTCTTTCAATCTTCATGTGCATTTTAATAACTGGTCTAATGAAATAGTGTCATGAACTACAATTTCCTAGGGAAATGGATCCACGGTACAAAATGGTTTGCACATGAGGGTCAAATCAGACAGCTAATGCCGAAAAAAGGAATGTCACATTGATGCTCGAAAGCATGTGTTTCTAATGTGGCTTAATGGAGTCATATCTACCTCTGACACCTAAGTGCCCATTGTAAACAATGAGAAAGGTGGAAGTTTCATGGGTGAGCACAAAAGTTCACCAAAGTACAAATTAGTGACAAAAATAGCAGCCTATGAAGTTGCATGTCAAGATGCGCTACAGGTTAGGAGGCAATGGTTTTGTACCTGTGTACGAAGATGGTAATGTAGAATATAGTATTGAAAATTCTCTATAAGACCACAGGAAAATTATCATTAAGCACATTGTTAATCTTCCTTACCTTTCACATTATCCAACAGTAACCAATTACAAATTGGTTAACTAAAATAACATAAAAAAAGGTGTTGGGTATTTCATGGAAGCCATGATACAATTTGTGTTGTATGACTGATTTCCCAGATTATCATCATTTTTACAACAGAATGCCGATAAATGTTTGCTGACATATTTGATTGATCACTTTAGTGAATTGTTCATTATTGTAAGGGATTCACTGAAACAATTTCAATGTACTGACTTTTGTGAAGAGTGACATCAACAGACACTGTAAGCATGAATTCTGCCTGTGGTTTATATTAGATAAACTGCTTGCAAAGGGAAGGTCAAAGCAAAGGGGGAAAAGTGTTAAGAACTGGCTTGAACAAAAACAGAATTTGTGGGAAAAGCTCAGCAGTTCTGGCAGCATGTGTGTAGGAAAAATCAGAGTTAACGTTTCAGGTCCGGTGACCCTTCCTCAGAACTACCCCACTTCTGAGGAAGGGTCGCCGGACCCGAAATGTTGGCTCTGATATTTTCTTCACAGATGCTGCCAGACCTGCTGAACCTTTCCAGCAGTTTCTGTTTTTGTTCCTGATTTACAGTATCTGCAATTCTTTTGGTTTTTATTAAGAATTGGCATGAGTTGGCATGTGAACTCTAAAGGGCCTTGGGTATTATTACTTGTATGGAAGGGGGGGTAGGTAGATGGACATAGCATGGCATAGAGGCTATAAAGCTTCATGGGGGTGAGTATACGGAGACTAGGGACATGAGGGGCCAATGATAAGCATGTGGCACAGTGTGGCATGGATGGGCCACAGTGACTGTATGAAGGTGACAGAGACAGTGAGCAAGACAGACCTTTCAGTTTTTAATATTTATTTTTGAAACTTGATCAGAGTGAGGCCTGAGGCCTTTCCATCCAGCCTGGTTTTGGAACCTGACATCCTCTTAGGGTCCATCCAAGTCATCTGGCCAAAATCTTACTCCAGCACTTTCTATCTCCCTTACTGCCTGCAGCACTAATGTACTTTAATGTGCCTTATCCTATGATACAGAAATGTGCATGCATTTTGTAAGAGGTAATTGAAAGTGAACACCTGAAAGATTTTTTAATTGCATTAATTATGGAGATTACATATTCTACCAATCACCGCAAACATTCTCCAACAAAACTGAACAGTTTTTAATTTCCAAAGAGCTGCAACTTCTGAATTTTGGTTTACATTTCTTAATGGTGGAGATGAAATGGTGGATAGCCAAGGTACCCTTTTGAGAGCTAAGGTACCCCTTTGGATATGGTCCTGGGGTTTCTTTGGGTGATGTCAGGTGACATTTAGGGGTGGTTAAACACCCTTTTGGGAAAGTAAGTTGCTCTTTGGAATGGTTAAGAATAGGCATGATCATGTGTAAAATGTGAATAATCTCAAACTGTCAAGCACATTGGAACGTCAACAGATCTGTCAAAACCCACTATTGAAAATGTCAAAAGCAACTGTGAAGAGGACCTGGCAAAAGCAACTATCAAAGGGAGCATTTGGAGGTCATCCACTATAAACTTTGAAACAAAAGTTTGATCCATGGGCAACAGACATCATTCTAAAATTGTGATACCTAAAACCGCCTGATTAGACTTGGAATGGAGGATTCAACACTTTAATGGGAGAGAGGTGCTTGGAAAAAAGTAACAGGGTGATAGTTTTCACTATGACACAATAGGGCCAGGAAGATGCTCATATATCTTCAACACGTTTGAAGTATGAAGCAGTTAGCGGAGATAGCATTTAAAATGCTTACGTACCTAAACAAACGTGGCATGCCATCACCTTACTGAGTGTTGCATTGTCATTGCGGAAAACGAAGAATTGTGAAAGCCCAGCATCATTTCTCTGAAACAGACAAAAATGATGGATAAGAAACGGCACTTAATCCATTGAGCTCAATGTTCAATCTACAAAAAAGGTTACCCAATCACATCAGCATGCAAAATTTTACAATATTTATTAATCATTGAACTGCTATGACTCAATGCTAGAGTATTGTTTTACAGTGAGTCTCTTCACTGCCTGTAACATAAACACCACTGGGACACAAAGCGTGCCTGATGATCTTGTCTATAAGTTTCAAACTATTTCAAGGAACATGATTCAGCAACCAGGGTCAGGAGCTGGACAGGTGGGTATGAATTGATAGGGGTCACTAAACACAGTACTGTTAGCCATTGTACTGCTTCGTCGGCCCCATCTCAACCCATGTCAAGTTCATAGAGATGGAGGGCAACAGGACTTCTCAACCACATGCAGTTTGTTGACAACTCAACTGAGTAGGAACGTCAACTGGAATTTTCCATTCAGCTGTAGGTTCTCAGGGGCAACACTTTATCTGCCTGGATGGAGATTCACCATGACAAGAGGTCAACACTCAAGACTGGGTCAGAGTAGCTCACTGCCTGCCTGGGTACAGGGGCAGCCCCAGGCTGCCCTTGAGAGCATAATCCTCCAGCTCCTAACACCAGACATACACCTTCCAAACTTTCACCCCAGTGATGGCCCGACCTCAAAAGCCACGATTTATTTTAAATTCAAGAAGATGGAGAAATCGCGCATCCATACGGAAGCGTCCTCTCCCTCAAGTATTGGGCATCGCAGTCTGATCCTTTCCAACTGGACACTCTCATATTGGCCAGCCAGCTTCAACACCCTCCACCCTGTAGCCATTAACACCCTCTAGCCATTAATTTGACACTCAGAGAAAAACAACACGGAGTGACTGGCTCCCACTCTGTGTGGGTATTTGAAACCGATTTGAGCCTGAGGTGGAGTTCAGAAGCTTGTGTGGTAAATCCTGCCCTTCAATATTTATGAAAACCCTTTTTTAGAGGACAAAGGAGGAGAAATAGGTGTGGCTCAGTGGTTAGCACTTCTGCCTCACAACGCCAGGGACCCAGGTTTGATTCCAGCCTTGGGTGACTGTCTGTGTCTTTGCATGTTCTCCCCATGTCTCCTTGGGTTTCTGTCAGGTGCTCCAGTTTCCTTCCACAGTCCAAAGATGTGCATGTTAGGTGGCTTGGCCATGGTAAATTGTCTTTGGTGTCTAGGGATGTGCAGGTGGATTGGCCATGGTAAACGTGGGGTTACGGGGATAGGGTAGGAGGCTGGGTCTGGGTGGGATGCTCTTTGGAAGGTCGATGCAGACTCGATGGGTCAAGTGCCCTCTTTCCAAACTGTAGGGATTCAACGACTCTAAATCCACTGAGATCAACGTTCCACAATATAGCAGCTGAAACAATGGTCTGGATTTCTCACTTGCAGTTAAAGTGTTGTGGTGAGCCAGTTTCATGGCATTTAGTCTGTCATGGCCCAGGGCAAATTTTATTGCACAATTTTCCACTCTTCACTTAATTAGTTATACAATTGAGCTATTGGGTGTATTGCTCAGGGAGTTGTGTGGAATGTGAGATGGGAGTGCTGGACTATTCCAGCTCACATGTCCCTGGCACCATAGTCAAAATTCAGAGATACACTACTTCAGATGCTGCAAGCCAGGAATTATCTCTCAAACAGTGGTGTTCAGCACAGAAGATTTCGCAGAGGAAAGGCCAGCTCCCCTCTTTTAGGACAGGGGTTTGGAGGTGCTGGTGGATGGAATGATCAAGAGAGGGACCATCCTTTCTCCTGACGACCTCGAAAAGACACTAGACTAACAGACCCAACCAACCTGGACAGAAATAGCATCTCAGATCAATGCTAGGTTCTGAGTGAAAAGGGACACCCAACAGCAGACCATAGCCATCAGACCATACGACACAGGAGCAGAAGTAACCCATTCAACTCATCAAGTCTGCTCCACTATTCAATCAGATTATGATGGATCTGATAGTCTTCAAATCCACTTCCCTGTCTTTTTCCCACAGCCCTTGATTTTCTTATTGCTTAAATATCTGTCTATCTCAGCCTTAAATATACTTAACAACCCAGCCACAACAACTTTCTGTGGTAAAGATTTCCATGGATTCACTACCCTCTCAGAGAGGAAATTCCTCCTCATCTGTGTCTTAAATGTACAACCACTTATTCTGAGATAAAGCCCTCTGGTACTAGAGTCTCCCACCAGGGTAAACAAACTTTTCGCACCAACCCTGTCAAGGCCTCTAAGAATCTTATATGTTTCAATAAGGCTGTCTCTCATTCTTCTCTATTCCAGTGAGTACAGATCCAATCTACTCAAGCTCTCCTCAGAAGACAGTCCCCACCATTGCAGGATATCAGTCTAATGAATCATCTCTGGACTGTCTCAATGCCACTGTAACTTTCCTTAGATGAGGGCCCGAAAACAGTATTCACAGTATGCCGGCTGTAGCCTATAGAAAGAAGGGCAATGATCTTCTGAATCATCCAAGCTTATTGGCATCCTCTTCTTTCTCTCTGCTAATGCACACTCAAGGGCCAACACTCAGTCTAATATCTCCCAGTGCACATGTATCTTACCAAGACTGATTGACTCGAACCTTCAATATTGCACACATCATTTCCACTGTATGGCTCTCACTTAAACCATGTCCTCTCAAATCACTCACCCTTCATATACTTACAGCTCACTCACGAGAGGCACCTCACCACCTCTCATGTTCATGCTCCTACTCTTGCATCCATGTCCATCATACTCAATCCCTTCCTCTGTTTCACTGCAGGAAATTCTTACCCTCCCCTCAGTCTGGTATCTCAACAATTCTCCAAGACTGAGCGACCTGTGGCTGGCAGACTGGTTGAAATCGACCAGGACTGACACTGGCCAACCCCCTGTGGTATGATCGGGTGAGTGCCTTCACTGAATGAGGCAGTCCTCCACTGACAATGCATGGTTTCCCTTTACCCCTTTAAAGACTCTTCTCCTTTGGCTTTCACACATTGCCCTTTAATTGAAGCACATGCAGTGTGTTTGCCATGTAAGCTGCTGGTATGTGCTACAGCACTGACGTAGATGCAGAATGGTACTAAAATGTAACACAGGACCGAAGAGATTTGATCAGGCAATGAAACTTTGGAATAACTCAGACCTGATTAATGATTGAATTAATAATGTGTAGCTGAGCAGATTATCTGCAATCGATGCTATCCTCGTGATATTTTGTGCCAGGGGATTTCTGTTAAATGTGATATGTTCCCTAATGCTGGAATTCATCATGATTTTACATTCGGTAAGCCGAATTTGATCATTTGTGGCCAACTCTTTTGGACTCGGAAGTGTAATAAATACAATAAGTGGGTGTCCAAAATGGAAGGTTTAGAGAGATCACACAGGCAAGGAAATATTTAAAGCCAGGCTAAAACAAATTCCCCTGATGGAACGGTGCATTATTTATTTGTGGCTACTTAAAAATACCAAGCTGTTTGGATGACCTTTGAACACTGTTTTAAACAGTAGGACCCCTCTACATTTCATTATGCCAGTTCAAGTATCCTAAGTGCCCACTCTTTCTCCCTCCACTATGACATAACTAGGGAAGCAACAGTACTAATGGACAGGGACTTGAAGCATTAAATACCCCAAGCAAGTTTTCATGAATTGTAAAGGACATGAATCAGATCGTACCGGTCAGTTGTGAACTGGTCAAACTCCAGCACCCCCAACCTCCTCCATATCACATTCACTCTGATATGTGAAAGCGTTGAGAAAGGAGATGACTGCCATAGTTTTGTTGCTTGAAGTAGTTATTAATTTTAAAACATGATTATGATTTACAATATTTAGATTAATGCACAGAGATTTGAGCAGCCAAAGAGTTTTGGAGTTTGAGCAGAATGATTAGAAGAGCTAAGAATATCTGGGTTAAAGGTGAAGTATGGAGTAGGCAAACTGAACAATTAAATCAGTAATATCAGTTGATAAAATGTAGTAAAATGATGCAAAACTGCAAGTATTGCATAGAATTAGAAATATGGTTGGGCAGTCTCAGTCAAATTTGAAATGTGTCAGAATAATGGATGACAATGCCTTTGTTGAGAGGTTAATATGGTTCTTAAGGGGTAGTTTAAAATCAAATTGACAACCTAATTGAACAAATCCAGATGATGATTAATATGGTAAATATTCCACTAATATGCCACAGTTAGGAGCAATGAAGGAAAACAAAACGTGATAAATAAACCATGGTTTACTGCGTAGTGTTAGGATCTCTAGGTGAAGAACTAGACGCTTTGTGAAGATTGAAAAGAATAGGAGATGAGAATTATTATACAGACTTACAATCATGATACTGGCTATCTCATACAGAATAGCACTCAAGTTTTGAGTACCTCCACTTCTATTTAAAGAGAAATATACACTGGAAGAAAGATCTGAAAACCTACAAATAGCATAAACATAATAAACCACGCCCCAACACTGGGGAAAGAATGGTTTCTTTCATTATTTTTGCTTCTGGATATTTTGGCCAGTCATAACATACATTCTGATCTATAATAGTAAAATAATGAGTGGAATCTTACCTGCAGTGCCCTCGTGAGTACATTATCCTCTCTAGGAGAAAGGTAGACGGAGATGATATTCTCATTTGCGAGTTTTGTTATAGCATCATTCAGCTCTTTAGGTTTTGTCTGACCGTCACTGAAGAATATCGCCACCTTTCTAATCAAAAAGCCACTCCGCACACGTTTGAATGTGTTCCTTGCTGCAAAACTCATTGCATCAGCAATGCTGGATTCCTTCCTCGAAGGCACAAACTGCAGATTTTCAATCTGTGTGATAAGGTCTCGCTTGTTCCTGGCACTGCTGAAACGGATTTCAGTGACTATACCACTGTTGTATGTCAAAACGGCGACACGAGCTCCCTTTGGGCAGTTGCTTTCCACTATGGTCAGATTGCGAACTATGTTGAGGATCGCGTTCTTGTTCTGGTTGAGCTGATTGGCGGTTTTCGTGTTGGAAGTATCGATCACAAAGGCCAGCTCAGTCGGATATGCAGGGCACTCTGTTGAACCTAACACAAAATGTAAACATGAATCAATTTTATTTCAGTTGTTAAGTAAGTAATCTGTTGAGCACAAATATTCTCTCAGTAAAAATAACTTACCGTAACAACATGCTGCAAGGAAGAAAAGAACAAAAGGAAAAATTTTAGACAGTTTTACTGGAATAATTACTGCTTTAAAGGATCAAATTCATATACCTAATGCAATTAAATAATCTGACTTCCACAATACTCACGGCATGACTCTTTAATCTGCTTTACAAGGCTGCATGTCTGAAATATTGGAGAAGCAAAAGCACATTAGCTACAATGCAACAGAATTCAAATCATATGTTGTGATCAACATCATTTTGTTTACCTCTACGGATCGTCCTCTCTCTCCCTTTGGACCCTAAAAAGCAATGTGTAAAATAATACAGATTAATCTAAAATTGCACACAAAATGCCCAGATTACTATTTACTATGATTCAAATAAAAACATTGATCAGCAAATTCACAACTGGGGTAAGTGCACAAACAATAAGCAGAGATTAGATCCACAACAGGCATTTGATTACTGGAAGTGGTGAGTGAGGTGGATAGAAGGGAAAATAATTGAATATTCTGGCCCCAGAGAGATAATCACCCACTTCCCATCGCCTCCCCAATTCACTGCTTGGCAAGCAAGTCCATTGGCGGCTTTCATCTCTCCAGCCCAAGGGGGAAGTGATGACCTTGTGCTAAGGCTGTTAATGCGGAAATCCCAGATAATATTCTGGAGACCCAGGTTCGAATCTTGCCATGGCAGACGGTGGAATCTGAATTAAATAAATGTCTGGAATTAAGAATCTAATGATAACTGCAAATCCATTGCCGATTGTCAGAAAAACCCATCTAGTTCACTAATGTCCTTCAGGAAAGGAAACTGCCATCCTTACTTGGTCTGGCCTACATGTGACTCCAGTCCCACAGCAATGTGGCTGACTCTTAACTGCTTTCTGGGCAATTAGGGATGGGCAATAAATACTGCTTAGCCAGCGACGCCCTCATCCCGTAAATGAATAAAGGAGAAAAAAACAATGAAGGCCTTTAATTGGTCAATTAATGGCCACTTAAGGGCTTCAACTCACTACTTCCCCAGTTACATGACATCCCGGCAGGCAAGAAAAGTGGTGGTTTCCTGACTGTGTAACCAAGGTGATTTGACTGCTGGGTTTGCTGGGAAAGGGTTGGGGTGGGGATCAGTGTAAGGCCTTCATCTGTTTGGCAGCCATTTGAGGCACAGAAGGAGGTGGGGGCAGGCATGCAAGGACATGGCCTTGAAAACCATCCTCTCGGCCTTGTTGATGATATCTCTCTACACAAGCCTCTAACCTGTTCGAGCAAAATGAAACCTCTGAACTTCTGGCAGTTGAATACCCTGAACATTGAGCCTTGAATGACAGTATTTAGGACCTAGAAACTGGTAGCCTTTGATTAGATGGCATATCATGTAGTCAACATTACACAATTTTCTCTTTTCCATTCATTCATTCATTCATGCAATCTGGACACTTTTGACAGGGTTAATACTTATTGCCCACCATTAAGTTCCTGTGGGAAGATATTGATAAGGCAGCCCCCGTTAACCAGTTTGTGTCATGAATGTGCTCCCTTAGCACACCCTAGGGAGAGAATTCCAGCATGTTGACCCAGCGACGATGGAAGTAAGACAATACAAGAACGACAATTTCCAAGTAAAAAATGGTGTTCAATGTGGGAAGCTGGCACTTCTGTGCGTCTGTTGCTCTTGATCTTCAAGACAGGTGGGGTCAGGGTTTGGAAGGTGCCGCTGAAGAAGGGTCAACAAGGTGTTGCATTGCATCTTATTCATGATACACTCTGCTGTCACATTGCACTGGTTATGGAGGAAGTTATTGTTCAAAGGAGGTGGATGGAATACCTTGTCTTGGATGGTGCTGAGGTTCTTCAGTACGGTTGGGGCAGTGCTAATTCACATATGTGAAGGTTATTCCATCGCACTCCTGACATGTGCTTTGCTGACAGGCTTTGAGAAGGCAAGAGGTAAGTTACTCATTGCAGAATTTCCAGCCGCTGACCTGCTCTTTAGTAGCCATTGTATTTATGGGCTTCATCCAATTTTCAATGGTGATCCAACAGAACGTCGATAATAGTTGAATTTGATTACAATAATGTTGTTGAATATCAAAGGGACATTGTTAGATTCTCTTTTGTTGGCGACGGTCATTATTTAGTATTTCTGTGGCAAAAATGCTGCAGTCACTTATGACCTCAAGTCTGAATATTATCCAGATCAGGCTGAGCATGGATACAAACTGCTTCATTACCTAAACAGCTCAAAATGCAACTGAAAATGTTGCTGTCGTTGGAGAAATCCACACCTCTGGCCTTATGATGGAAAGAACATCATTGATGAAGCAACTGAAGACTGTTGGCCCTAAGACACTCTCTGGACCTGCTCCTACAGTGATGTCCTAGCAATGAGATGCTTGAACTCCAACAAAAAATAACCGTCTTCCTCTGTGGCATATATCATTTTTGTCCTTTTTTTTGATTCGCATTAGCTCCAATTTTACTGGGGCTCCATGAAGCCACACTTGTTCAAATCATACTAAGGGATAATCAACCATGCCCCACTTTTGGAATTCAATGTTTGTTCAATATTGAGCCAAAGTTTTAGCGAGGTTTGGAGTTGAGCGATCTTGACAATCCAAACTCTACATAAGTAAATAAGTTGTTGCTGAGTAACTTCAACTTGGTAGCACTGTTGATGATAATCTTCCCATTACTTTTCTGAAGATTGAGAGAAAAGTGATGGAGCTACAATTCTCTGGATTGCATCTATCCGTCTCTATGAACAGAACATACATGGATAATTTTGTCTGATTGGTACTACTGTCGTAGCTGCACTGGAACAATTTACTAGAGGCCTGGGTTATTCTGGAACATGTAGCTTTAGTACAACAGATGAGTTGTTGTCAAGGTCCATAACCTTTTCTTTAGTGTCTGCAGCTAGATCTTGATATCACATGGAGAGAGGTGAAGAGAATTGGCTGTAGGCTGCCTTCTGAGGTAGTGAGGACATCAGAAGCAGGACACGTGAATTATCCACTCAATACTCTGATGATGGTTACAGATGATCTTAAACTCATGCTGAACTCATCACTGAGGATGACTATGCCCCTGGTGTCTCCTCAAACTTGTATGGGTTTAACTATTCACCACCATTCATGACTGAAATTTGCAGAAACTGATTCATTGATTTTAAGATCACTATGCTCCAAATATTACATGCTACTTCCATTTTTCAGTGTGCATAAATTCCTGTATTGTCACTTTATCGGTTGGCATCTCATGTTTAGGTCTGTCTAGCGTGCTTCCTGCTCTTCTACGCATGCTCTTCTATGCTTTTCGTTGATTATTAGGGTTGTGTTAGAGGTTAGGGCTAGAATTTAGGAGAAGTTTATTTTATTTTATACGTATAATAACAACAAACGTTTTCAGTGCAATTCAAGCTAACATCTACTGGGATTAACCTTTTAGCAAAGAGACAATATTACACAAAGACAGTCCATGATTCTAGGGTTAACTTAATTTTGAAGGTCAACATTTGTTGAACTGACAGACCTTAACATTAAGCTGAAAGCATTTTATATTACATTGGTTAAATGCAAATAAAAACTTAACGACTTGAAGACAATGACAACCTGTGGGCCTGGAAAACCTGCTTCTCCTTTCATTCCACCATCACCAGGAGGTCCTGAATAGCCCTGCAATAGAGGACAATCACAGATTTACCACTGGTGGGTTCTAAACACCAGAAGTTAAATATCGCTTACACAGAGTCCAGACGTAAGCTTTTCAAGTCAGGATTTTATTTCTACTTAGAGTCTAAAGTCTTCAACAACACAGATTACTTGTTCCCCATATACATGTGCACTCAGTCAATGCTCACCTAATTATTCCTTAATTAACATGTGATCATCAACTGTTCCCTTTTTCTGCTTGGTCTCAGGGAACCCTGCCAAACACTATTAGATTTCATCATAAAGGGGTTTATTTAATTGCAAATTTCAGCATGGTTTTCATTGTAAAATTCGTCAGCTGGCAAACAGAATATTTCTTCCATTTTGCCATCTTGAGTCACTATGAACCATTCCCACCTCAGTTACAGTTTGTTTCAGCAGAAATTTAAGGATACTGTGCTCTGTGTTTCAGCTATGAACCACAGCATAACACAGACTACCATTTCCGGCATATTTCTCCCCATTTTCTCCCTCCAGCTATGGTTACGGACATTGGCGAATTTAAGATAAATAAGGGCCAAATTTATGTCTTTGCCCACTATAAGAGGATTGAGGTCACACTACTGAAATGAATTTCAAGCAATGGTCCTACAGCTAATTGAAAAGGCCACATTCCATCAGGATGGGTGGATTTCAGATCTGGTCACTGATAACCCATTAGATCACATAACCTCCAATCAAGGATATTAAATGAGACATAGATGAAGGTTTATTACAATGAAGATATATTTTGTTATGGACACCCTGCACCTGTCAAAAGAAATGAATGAAAAATTCTGTGAAAACAGCCTTATATCTGCAAATCTCCCATCTCATTTGTATTAAGTGGTAACGTTAGATAATATGATGTGGCTCCCTTGCTCCAGTTTCCATATTAAAGTAGCAGAATTGGAAAATCTGCACATGTTTAAATGGGTAGGCTTCAAAATCTGCCAAGGTGACAGGAAACCATATGCACAAAGCAAACTCAATTTCTGATGTTGCAATGTTGCTCAGAAGGTTTTACAATTTTGTGCTTGATGACTGTGCCAATGGTAGACAGTAGATGTGAAAACTTGCATTCCTGCAACTATTTAGACAGATGGGAGTATTTAAGTCTTTTAGCTTGCTATTGGCCAGAACAAAATAGTAACCTGCTAGTAACAATCATTGACACTTGATTTTATTGGTGTTTGTACCCAGAAACAGACAACAAACGTATTTCGTCAAAGATAGTCCCTTTTCTGGAGGCATGCATATTGTCCTATTTGCATTGCTATTCAAGGTTGGCTTTGCAAACAATAGTGTGCTTTAACATAAATAGGGGTGGGTGTTATAAATTAAATGTTAGAGCACAGACATGCTGGGGAACATTGACTTATGCTGATACTCTGGGACAACTGTCAGCATGTGGGCTGCTACCTTTGTGACTCGTACATTAATAGCCAAAAGGTTTCACTGGAGAATCTACATTTTCTGCAAATAGCTCTGCACAATTTTACACCCACTTTAACTGATAAAGATTTTAAAGAAAAATACTGGATGTATCCATTGCAGCTCTGTAAATTACCTTTCTATGCTTTTGCACAGTGAGATGTTTGGTATCTGAGACAACAGTCAAGAGTCAAAATAACGAAGCGCATCATTTTCACATCTGTTTGGACTTACCCTTTGACCTCGATTTCCTTTAATCCCATCTTTCCCTGGAGTACCATCGTCTCCGATTTCACCCTGTTTCAGGAATGTGACATTTCGTTAAAAGTGCATCAACCACATATAGTCAATCACAAGAAAACTTCAAAAGCAATTTAATTGTTTACTTTACCTTTTGACCAAGGGGTCCAACAGGGCCTCGCTCACCCTAAAATGAGAAAAAAAAAACAGAATTGGAGATCCATTGGTGCAGAGACTTGTTTCTTCCATTCTTTCAGCTGTTCCCTTCCTTTTAAATGAAGAAACTTATTTGCACTGTATTATAGTGCAATGAGCAAAGGCACCCTTCAATGCCCAATCCACACTTTTCAATCCCTATTTACACCAAGTCTACCTACAGAGTATCAGAAGACAACATGCCTATCATCAGAACAAGTTCTTTGCACTCTATGTGCCAATTTTTTTACTCACCTGAAGTATAATTGGAGTGAAGGGAGATGACAGTTGAGGGCTTTACCATTAATAGTCAACAGCAGGAACTCTAATGACTGATGTTTCTCTGCTTGGCTGCTTGACAAAAATCAACTAACTCAAATATGTTTGTCATCAAACCATAACACATCCTGATTTACATTGCTCATTGAGCCAGACTGCCAGTCATTTCCAATTATCCAGCTATTTTGATGCATATTGCATTCGTTATTAGCTTTAAATCCATTTCAATTCATCATCTTGCTGCAAATAAAGGTTTGGCATCAATAATAGCTGTTCTATTTTATGATGGAAAGAGAATTGCTTAAAAGTCACTGGCAAATTATTTTTCATACAAAAAGATGTTCAGAACCAAAGCCATATACACACAGATACCCTGACGAGTGCAGAAACTCAATCATAATTCACATTAAAACTGTAAGTGGAACCAGAGACCATTAGGAACCACATTATATTTTCAAGCCTACTGTTTGATGAAGAGGTCCAGCTACCATAGCATAGTTCTAGCTCAATTACAGTTTCTTATTTTAAGTTAATTGCTATCCAGGTGAGTTTATGCAGCTTATAACTCCAATGCTCAAGTATCCATCCATTATTTCTATGTATTTACAGCATGGCTTTAAGTGGGGAAGGTTGTGCTTCACTAACTTGATCGAGTTTTTTGAAGAGGTGACGAAGATGATTGATGAGGGAAAAGCGGTTGATGTTGTCATTTTACTTCAATAAAGCCTTTCACAATGTCCCTCATGGCAGACTCGTAAAAAAGGTGAAGTCACATGGTATTAGGGGTGAGTGGGCAAGATGGATAGAGAACTGGCTTAATCATAGGAGACAGAGTATAGTGGATGAAGAATGTTTTTCAGAATGGAGATGTGACTCGTGGTGTTCCACAGGGATCAGTGCTGGGAATTCTGCTGTTCGTGATCTACATAAATGATTTGGAGGAAGATGTAGCTGGTCTAATTAGGAAGTTTGTGGATGATACAAAGATTGGTGGAGTTGCGGATAGTGAGGAGGATTGTCAGAGGGTACAGCAGGATATAGATCAGTTGGAGGCATGGGCATAAAAATGGCAGATGGAGTTTAATGCAGACAAATGTGAGGTGATGCATTTTGGATGATCAAGTACATGTGGAAATTGTACCGTGAATGACAGAATCCTTAGGCGTATTGAGAAGCAGATGGATCTGGGCATGCAGCACAGATCACTGAAGGTGGCAGCAGAGGTAGATAAGGTAGTAAAAAAGGCTTATGGCATGCTTGCCTTCATTGGAAGGGGTATTGAGTATAAGGATAGATAAGTTATGCTGCAGCTTGATATAACTTTAGTTAGGGCACACTTGGGATATTGCGCACAGTTCTGGTCATCACACTACCAGAAGAATATGGATTCTTTGGAGACAGTACAGAAAAGGTTTACTAGGATGTTGCCTAGTATGGGGGATTTTAGCTATGAAGGAGGTGGGATAAACTGGGTTTGTTTTCATTGGAATGCAGGCGGCTGAGAGGTGATCTTATAGAAGTTTACAAGATTGTGAGTGACATGGCTAGAGTGGAAAGTATGAGGCTTTTTCCCAGGGTGGGGTGGGGTCAATTACTAAGGGACACAGGTTCAAGGTGCAGGTGGGGAAGTTTAAAAGACATGCGCAAGGTAAGTCTTACACACAAAGGGTGTTGAGTGCCCGGAACGCATTGCCAGAGGAGGTGAGACACAATAGCTGCATTCAAGAAACATCTAGATGAATGCATGAGTAGGAAGGAAATAGAGGGATACGGATCCCGTGAGTGAAGACAGTTTTAATTTGGAAGCACAAAATGCATCGGCACAGCCTTGGAGGGCCAAAGGGCTGCATTGTTCTTTGTTCTCTTTTTTCTTTGTATTTAAACTACTTGACGCTTATTCCAACTGATGCCATTGCGAATTAATTAGAAATTTCTGTACATGGCAAATTTTACAATATCAAATGCTGAGGTACGTTAGCATCAGTTCCACTATTGCAAGAATTTACATAGGTTTGAACTTTTGTTTTCATTCCTGTTTAGAGTGCTAACAAAGGCGTCTGTATTCAGCATTCTGTAAAATCTCATTTTGCTCTATTTTTATACAAGTTTCCTTCAACTCACTAAAATGACTGACCTTTCTGCCTTTAAGTCCAGTAACGCCAGTGCCAGTTCTTCCATCCTCACCCTGCAAAAGTAAAAAAAGAATGCATGTAAACACTGGAACGAAAGAAATGTGAAAACTTTTAAAGCCTTGTGTTAAATTTCAATAATTTTAAAATTATTTGTGCACTTTCATTGTAAGGTCAGAATGAGGATGTTTGTTGATGATTGCACAATGTTCAATGCCATTTATGATTTCTCAAATACTGAAGAATGTGTGTCCAAACATAGCACAAACTAGACAATATCTAGTTTTGAGCTGACAAGTGACAAGTCACATTCATGCAACACAAGTGCCAGATAATGACCGTCTCCAACAAGAAAGAATCTAATCATGGCCCCTTGACATTTACAGCACGGTGGCTCAGTGGTTAGCACTGCTGCCTCACAGCATCAGGGATCTAGGTTTGATTCCAGCCATACACTTCTGGTTGCCCTTCTGTGGAAAAGATTTACAAGGGTGTCACCGGGATGAGAGTTTGAGTTATAGGGATAGGCTGGGGCACTTTTTCTCTGCAGTGTTGGGTGACCGTATAAATGTTTATAAAATCATGAGGGGCATGGATAGGGTGAATAGCCAAAGTCTTTTTCCTAGGGTGGGGGAGTTCAAAACTAGAGGGCATAGGTTTAAGATGAGATGAGAATGATTTAAAAAGGACTTGAGGGGTAACTTTTTCCTGCAGAAGAGTGTGCCTGTACAGAACGAGCTGCCAGAGGAAGTGGTGGAGGCAGATACAATTACAACATTTAAAGGACATCGAGTTGGGTATATGTCGTTTAAGGGTTTAGAGGGTTATGGACCGAATGCTGGCAAATGGGACGAGGTCAGATTGGGACGTCTGGTCGGCGTGAATAAATTGGACCGAGGTGTCTGTTTCCATTCTACTCGAATCCAAAATGTATTGTGCAACATACAAAGTCACGTTATGTTGAAAAAGTAGAGCACTTACCATTTCTCCACGTGGACCTGTTGGTCCAATTTCACCCTTTTCACCAGGATTTCCAGTTTCACCCTGTGGTGGAATAAATCAATGAAGGTAAAAAGTCAACAATCGCATACTAATAAATTTTCTCAACAATTAAACATTTTTAAAGTTGGACATACCTTTCGTCCATTTTGTCCTTGTCCGCCTCTTGCACCAGGAGGTGCAGCAGAACCAGCAGGTCCCTAGGACAAGAAAAAGAGGATTTCTTCAATAGGAGTTTGAAAATGGAAACTGGACTTCACATTAGTATAAAAACACAGCTATAGCTTCCTCTTTTTCAAATCATGGGTGCAATTGTATATTCATTGAGGTAATTGTCACTGTTTGGGAAATGGGAATAAGGTTAGTTAAAACCCCCTCTCATTTAGACCAAAGCTGGAGGATTGCCCTGGAACTCTGGTCCCACCATTGCAAGGGTAATAAAATAAAATTAAAATACTTTTCCACATCAGACTTCCAATAACAAGTTCTATCGAACGTTCCATTGTCTGTTGCCGTGATGTTCTGGCACATGTGGTCAGATCACTAACCATGTACAGTTGACTTTGAGTCTTGTAGACACAATTGCTGATGTTCCTTCAATCAGGCTTTCAAACAAGGCAAAAAGATTTCACTCTGAACTCAAAAAGGAGTATTTTTAATGTGGAAATAGGAGAGGTCAGCCAGGCAGCTTGATCTTAGCAGACTTTCCATCAATTTAGCTCATTTCTTAGCAAGCTTTCCTACAACCCAGCTTATTCTTAGCAGGCTGCCCTCCAGGCTCCGGAGGGACCGTTCCCTGCAGGACACCCTGGTCCACTCCTCCTTCACTCCCAACACATCCCCACACTCCCACGGCACCTTCTCCTGTAACTGCAGAAGGTGTAATACCTGCCCATTTTCTTCCTCCCTCCTCACCATCTAAGGTCCCAAACACACCTTCCAGGTGAAGCAGTGTTTTATCTGCACTTCATTCAATCTAATCGACTGTATTTGCTGCTCACAATATGGTCAGAAAAACAAATTCAAAGCATCTTGGAGCACCCACGCGCAAAAAATGGCATCTCATTGATTATGCCATTGTTCGCTCCAGGGACTGTTGTCACCAGAGTTATGATTGGCTCAGGTGACTGTTGGACTAATCACCACCTTATCTGATCTACAATGTCCATCAGTCTACACAGAAAGAGGAAGGTTTAGAAGAAGCAGACCAGCCAAGGTTCAACATCAAGAGCCTGGGTGACATGGTCATCACACAACATCTACAGGCCTCACTTGCTAAAAACCTACATTGGGAATATGCAGAGGACATAGGAGAACACTGGAGTCTGTTTAAATCAAGCATTCTCAGTAACTGCAATAACACTCTCAGGTACAAGTCCCAAAACCATCAGGACTATTTCGAGGGAAATGATGCAGAAAGTGAACAGCTCATCTCCAAGAAAAGCATAGCCTTCCGTGACTGGCAGAATGACATCAACTGCAAGGCCAAAAGAAAGGCCGATACCAAAGCTAAGGCTGATGTCCAACAGAGGGTCAGGGAGCTCAAAACAGATGGTGGACTGATAAGGCCTTGGAAATCCAGCAGTTGGTAGAGGCTGGTGACACAAGAGACTTCCCCAGTCCCACCAAGGCAGTATACAGTCTAAGCTACTTGGTCGAAACCCCCTGCACTGTCGAGACAAAAATTGTTCAAGGACAACAAGGCAATAAACACCCATTGTAGAGAGCAATTCGAAGAACTCCTCAACAGTAATACCAATGTTAATTTGGAAATCTCAACCAAAGCCCCCCAGGATCCATACTGGGTGACATGGAAGAACCTCCCAATATGACCGAAGTACAAGATGCTATAAGGAGCCCAATAAACAAGGCTGCTGGTCCTGATGGAATTCTTGCAGAGATCCTAAAGGAGGGTGGTCCAAAGCTCCATGAACACATACATCTTTGCTCTTGAAGATTTGACTCAAAGAAGAACTCTCTCAGGGATACTCTGATTGTGACCACATTCAAAAAGGTGACAAGGCTGACTGTAGGAATTACAGTGGTATCTCCTTTCTGTCAACCACTGGCAAAGTATTTTCATGTATCCTTGCCATTAACCGATGACTTCTGCCATTAACCGGGGAAATGCTCCTTGGATTGCAGTATGGCTTTTTCCCACCCAGAGGAATAATAGACATGATCTTCACAGCATGTCGATTGCAAGAAAAATTTCAGGGAGAGAAATAACTCTTTACATGGCCTTCATTGGCCTGACTGAGGCCTTTAACATAGCTAACCACCAGGCTCTTTGGCAGATACTGTCGTGATGTGGCTGCCCTGATAAGTTCATCAGGATGCTGAGACTGCTGCATGATGACATGTCTGCGACAGCGCTTAGCAACTGTGGATTGGAGTCTGAGCCTTTCACCATGGAGACAGCGGTCAAGCAGAGCTACATCGTCACGCCCACCCTGTTCACCATCTTCCTTGTTGCCATCCTCCATCTCACTGGTCAAAACCTGTCCAAGGGAATTCAAATCATTTACTGTATGGATGGTAGGCTGTTCAACCTTACTTGGTTCAAGGCCTAGGGCAAGGTGTCCACCACCTCCACTTTGGAGCTTCAATATGCTGGTGACAACACCATCTCAGCACACTCTGCTGAAGATCTACAGGGCATCATGGATGGCTTTGCCAAGGCACATAAGGCCTTACTACAAGGCCTTACCCTTAACATAAAAAGGATTCTAGTACTCAATCAACCACCACCCAACAGTCCCTCCACCCCTCCTACAATAAGGGTCAACAAACATCCCCTTGACAATGGGGATCACTCCCCATATCTCTTCTCTCCTCCAAGCCAACATCAATGCAAAAATGCAATACCATCTGAGCTGCGCCAGTGGAGTCTATGCCCGACTCTGAAGAAGGGTGTTTAAAGACCATGATTTACGGGCCCAGAATAAACATCTGGTCTCCAAAGCTGTTGTCTTTCCCACACGGCTATATGGAGCTAAAACATGGACCACCTACAGTAGGCACCTTAAAGTACTGGAACAACACCACCAGAGATCCCTGCAAAAAATTCCTGTGGATCACCTGGGAAGACAAACACACTAATACCAGCATCTTGGAGGAGGCCAACACAGCCAACGTTATCACCACCGTAATTCAACAGCGGGACTGGCCATGTCATCCAAATGCCCAAATCATGCCTCCCAAAACAGACCATGTACTACCCGGCTGCATGCCCCTGGTGGTCAAAAGAAACACTTCAAAGATAACATCCTGACTAACCTCAAGAAATTTCCTATCAACATCAACTAGGAGGACATGGCTACAAACCAGACTCTCTGGAGAAACATCAAGGATATCCGGAAACATCAGGAAACATCCAGCAGGGAGCTGTACGCCCCAGATACAATCTCTGCTGAGTGCTGAACAGAAGCGACTCTTGCGAAAGGAGAGACAGAAGATCAGGGAGGCCCATTCACCACTACCTCCAACCACCATTACCACCCAGCAATGCCCAAATTGCAACAGAATCCATGGATCCTGGATTGGCTTCTTCAGACATCTGAAGATGCACAAATAGATGCCCTTATGGAGGACAATCATCCTTGACCTGAGTGATCACTGATGATGATGATAGAACAAGGGTACGCTGGTAAGAAAGAGGGAGACTTGTATTCAGTCTCCTACATATCTAACAGTCTTCAGCAGGGTAAAGGATTAATTTTGAGGTGTCACAATTGTAATGCACATTAATATGCAAGCCTATTTCTGCACATAATTTTCCAAAAGCAACAAATTCTATAAATGTACAGAGGTATACCATATTGTCGAAGGATAGATGTTAACAGGATAGTAATACATTGGAAATCTATTGTATCCAACCAAACTGACATATGTCACCTTGGTTTAATTAAAAGAAAACATCTCTAACAATATACTGACAGACGAGATGCATCAAAGTGATTTTTCACTGACCTCTACGTTCTGATACAATGCTACTAACTATCGTATTCTTCCAACATCAGACTGGATTATTATGTTGTAATCCTGATATGAGGTATGAATATAATGCAAACTGAGCCCATTATTTTGTTTTTCATATAAAAGGAAACAGGAGCAGTTAGAATTTAGAATTTCCATTTCTCACTGCTGAGCTTGAGACCTGAATGAGACTGGTTACCAATTTTATGACAAATTAAGTGGGAGGTTTCAAGTGTGGAGCTAAACCCATTTAGAACTGAGTTGAGATTGTTCCAAACTGATTTAGATCCTTACGGTCAGTATGTGCAGACTTCCATCCTTTCAGTTTCAGTCTTTCAATTAGACCACGGCGGATGGATCCATTGTTTTCGTTAGACATTAGAACATTTGGAGGAAATCTTCTTAGTTGTGTACATCAAATTCACAAGAAAAAAGCGCTTACCCTTGGTCCTCGAATGCCATTTGCACCTTCTCGGCCTGGGATTCCAGAGCTTCCAGGTTCGCCCTTAGTGCAAAACAGAAATGTTCTTGCAGTGAATTCCACATTTCCTGATATTTTGAGATCTAACAAAAAGCAGCAACTACAGTCTACATTGTAAATGGAGAGCTTACTTGTGGTCCTCTAAACCCTGCAACTCCTGGAGGTCCACGCGTTCCTCGATTGCCTTTTGAACCCTGTATGTATCAAATGAAACAAGTATTATATTTATTGGAAATCGTCTAATGAGGAAACATTTTTCTTGTAAAAGGTTGGATTACGCCAGAATTGGATTTACCCTGATGACTGGAACGTAAATAGATTCAAGTACACTTGAAAATAAGTAAGTAAATTCACTTAACAAGAACATTCCCACACCTTTAGTTTTAAACATTACTTTAAACATTCCTTCAGCATTTATTCCTTTCACCACCGATGCTAAGTGGCAGCAGTGTTTACCATCTACAATATGAACTGGAGCATCTCACCAAGGCTCCTTTGACAGCACCTTCCAAATTTAAAACCTCTATCCCTGCAAGGGCAAGGGCAGCAGATATATGGGAATATGATTACCTGCAAGTCCCACTTCAAGCTACACACCATCCTGACTTGGAACTACATCATCATCACTCCATCACTTTTGTTAAGTCAAAATCCTGGAAACCCTTTCCTAACAGCACTGTGAGAGTTTTTACGCATATGAACAGCAACATTTCAAGAATGGAGCTCAGCACCACCTTGTCAAGGGCGATTAGGGATGGGCAATAAATGCCGGCTTAGCCAGTGATGTCTGTATCGCATTAGCAATTTTTAAAAAAGTTACAGGATATTCTATAACGATTTATCCTCTTTTCTAACCAACAAATGCACTAAAAATGTAGGAAAAGATAAGCAGATACATCAGTATTCACCTTATCTACTCAACAGTCCTTGCAAGTACTTTTGAAATTTCAAGTTATTCTGAATCAATTCCTTTGTTCCTTTAAGAACTGCTCACAGCTAAAGTCAGGAAATTTAAAAGCACCTTTAGGAAATTCACTATCTATCCACTGGTCTTCCCTCATCATGAGGCCAGAGTCAGAGGAATGCAGATTTATCCAAAAAAAACATAAAAATGGAAAAGGTTACATAGATAGGGAGAGGCAAAGTCATTAAGAAGTTCAAACGTAACAGAAAATTTTAGATTTAATTTGTTGAGGGACCACTCAGTGGCAACTGAATGTGATTTGGTGCATGTTAGCACTCAGTATTGGAGTTTTGGGTAGATTGCAGTTTCTGAAAAGAAGAGGGTAGGAAACAGAACAGGACAGCATTAACGTACAAATCTGGAGATGAAAACATTGATGAGACGGTTTGAGACAGGCAGCTAGCGTTGATAAGAAGGCAATAGAGTTTTTGGTAGCATTGAAAGGTGACAGCTTCTATCATCCCGATGTTCAATAAGAATAAATGACAACTGATCAAAGTGTGAACAAACAGTCTAACAGAATAGATAAGGTTGAGGGGTTGAGAGAAGTTAAGTAGACATAGAGCAATATATTATCAGCAAATGGTTGACCCTATTTCTTTAGATGACTTTGCCAAGGAGCAGCAAATATATAAGGAATAGAAAGGGCCAAAGGTAGAGCATTGGGAAGAGAAAGTATTCTGGGAATGCTCTGATATGTTGGCTATATAAGAATGGATAGGTAGCACAGGACTGAACTAGGTGGGACAGGAGGGAACAAGGCGGTTGAAATAAGATAATGGTGACGGTTGCTGTGCATTTGGCAATGTCAAAGGCTGTGGAGAGATCAGGAAGAATGGTCAAGAATAGTACACTAGTCAGTCATAATCCTCACAAACGAGGGTGCAATTTGTGATTTTGATTAGAGTCATTTCGACATTAGTTTAAGCACAGACACCTGATCTTAGAGATTCAGCGTAGTTTTGCCTATACAGACTCGATTGGCCAAAGGGCCTTTTCTGTATTGTGTGATTCTATGATTCAAATATGGAACAGTCAGAAAGGTGGAATTTTGAGGATATACAGTTTAGGGTTTTGCAAATTGCTTTTGCATCTCCAACTTCCCTTTCATTTCCAGAGATACAAGTCTTGCGTTTATATAGATCTTTTCATGACCACCAAATATCCCAAAATGTTTTAGCACTGTTGAAGTGCTTTTGAAGTATATTTGCTGCTGTAATGTAGAAAACACAACAAGACCCCACAAACAGCATTGTGATCATGATCAGCTAATCTGTTTTTGTAATTTTGAAAGAAAGGGAAGAAGTTGCAACTGAAGCATTTGAACTGATTTTCTGAATTTTAGTGAATAAAAAGGTCAAGACCCCCTTGCACTTGTATTGCAATATTGCATCTTGTAAGTCTCAGAGATTTGCAGAACAAAACACAAACGTAGTTCAGCAATCAGTTCCATATCTTCTTTCTTTCTTCACCAATTTCTTACCAGCCCTACTTTTGTGAAGACTCTGATTCCATGCTAGGTTATGGCTTGACAGCAACCTGTCTGCTTTTATTACCTTACCCATGTGAGCCAGGCAATGAAGGTCAGGAAGCTCTTCAATAATGGGGCCATCAGGTCCAAGCTCAACCTGTCCACAACTGATGGATATGAAATCAGAAGCTGGAAAGCTAATCATTTTCCCATCCTTCATTTCAGAGCATTGAGGCTAACCCAAGCATTTTCACTAGTCTGATTAAGGTTAGCCAAATCAATACAGGCCAGAAGATGAATTTGGAACATCTGGCCTATATGGCCCATCTAAGCACTGGAGAAAACAACTGAATGATCAAAGGAATCCATGTCTTGGTTAACAAAAACAGAAGTTGCTGGAAAAGCTCAGCAGGTCTGGCAGCATCTATGAAGAAAAGTTTGAGTAAACATTTCGGGTCCGGTGACCCTTCCTCAGAATTTGTCTTGGTTAGTCCTGGTTCACAAACACTTCAAGATCTTATAGGAGGTGTATCGTACTTGAAGAGATTGAATTTGACATAGCTATGCATTTTTATTTCAAACATCACTAATGTGCCTAGCCTCACTTTTCAAATTTTGCAATGTATTCTACACTGAGTAGCCAGGTGCTTCTGCCTTAATTATGTGTCCTTGCTACAGTGTCTGTAATGCACATACCCAATGTAATAATGGATTGTAGACTTCTTAATCATGTTATCTTTCGAAGATTGACACATTTGACGGTACCCAATGCCTGACGCATATTTCTTATGCTTGTGTATCAGTGAAACATTTCTTCTCATGCAGCCTTATTATGTGATTCTTCCAGATATTATAATTACTATATTAAAATTATCTATCATATATACAATATTAAATATAGAATAATAAATATTGTCCTAAAGAAAATGCTATAATTATGTTCTACATAAACAACTGAAGATCTTTGATCTCATATATTAATTTATACGTAGCACAGCTAATACATTTTGAACAAAATTATCAATAAAAATGTAAACTGTACTCTTGCTCCTGGTGGTCCTCTGCGGCCTTGAGTTCCCTGTAATGACAAAATTCAAGCCAGTGTTACTGCTGTGAAATGTTAATAAGAAAATTGTGCTGTCAATATTAAATAGTTAAAATAAAGTTTGTACTTGCTGGACACACAACAGTGTGATTAATTCTCAAAATGTGAATGCAATGTTTGTTTTTTCATAAAGAAAAAGAATCATTTTTTTGCCAATATCATCGGCGAGAAAAGTCAGGAGAAACATGTATTAATAAAATCTTTGTTTCTTTTCTTTAGATTTCACAATGCGGTATTTTCAAACTGAGAGATTTCTTTCGCGTTATTTATGTCATGTTTCTACTCAAAATTGTAAGTTAAGCATTCATAAAAAGATTGCCATCTCAAGGAATATGAAGTGGTTTGCAAAATGGGGAAAGTAGACTTTGTAGGTCAGAGGGAACTTTCATTTTGAACTGAGGACACATGATTATTAGTTTTACTTGCCCCTCTTCATCTAAAACACTGGTGCTAGCTTACCTTTGAGTATCTCACCTAAATAATTGTCTTTGAATACATGTAGATGGATTACCACATGGCTGTTCTATAACGGTAAGCATCATAGATGAAGTTGACATTATGCTCGCACAAAGCCGAGCTTTAATCAAAGATAAATACTACTCTGCCTGGTGAATTCCAAATTGACATCTTCAGGATACCAGAGCCTAACATTTTTTTGTGTACAGCCAAAAGTTTACTTACCCTGCGCCCACTTGCTCCAGGTGATCCTGGACGGCCACTGGCACCAGTTTCTCCCTACATCAAAATTAAAGTTACAAATATACCAGTGAATTTACCTTTGTCTGAATATTCAGACAATAGAGCTATGGCTTATTGTATATATAAATTTACTCAATAGATAAGATTTAGAGAAAGCAATTATGCTTCCAATTGAAGGATCAATTTTGTAACATAATGTAAGTATTTAGACAATATATACATTACCACCAAGCCCATGTCACCCCTCTGCCCTTTGTCTCCTTTCTGAATATTCGTGAGTCCTGGTTCACCCTGCAAAGCCAGAGCAAATTGTCTAAAAATATGCAATATAGCCTCAAATATTAATCTTTAAAAATGTTTTCAGAAATATAGTGGGTTACTGTTACATCCAGTTCATAGTAAACAAACTCCTAACGACTTTCATAATTTTGCCTTCTCTTACAAGGTATGTAATTGGAATAGATGTTTCTTCATTTGGGATCCCTGAATTCAGTAACATTTAATCTCTATGACTCTATTTACATTAGATGCTTATACAGCAGTCTGAATGAGATAGAATTTTGGCACTCAGTGTGACGAGGCTAGTTTGGGGCTGTATGTTTGCTAATGAGACAGGTAACTCAAGTTAGGAAATTTCCTGCCTTGCTGAATCCAATTCAATCGAAATACCTGGCAACATGCAATGTGAAGTTGATTGAGGGAGATAATCTTGGTTGGGAATCTATGGTTAATGCCCTGCTCTTATGAAAGTAATGCCATGGAATCTTTCAATATTCAGATGAGCAGGTAGATGGCTATTGCTTTATATCTCATTCTAAACGTAACATCTCTGACTGTGCAATACTCTGTCAGCACTGTGATCGAGTGTCAGTCTTGGTTTTTGTGTTTAGGTCCTTGAGTGGAGAGGAAGGTAGTGCACCACCTGGATGGGACTTATTTAAATTGGGATTGGGGTCCTAGATTGAAGAATAAATAGAGTGGTTACAAGAACTCTAAATTAGTAAGTTGAGGGAAGAGTCCAGGTGAAAAAGATATTATAAGTAAAACTGGACAAATAAGCAAATGTTACAATCAGAGATTGTGCTCAGGCACCAAAGGTAAAGGGGAAACTGAAAAATGGAAAGTAACTAAACAAGGAGCAGGAAGAATTCTATCAGTAAAACCTCAGAACTGTATGATAGGTTTGAATTTTTTTTTCCTTTGTTTATTTGTTCCAGGATGAGGGCATCGCTGGCTAGGCAGCTTTTATTGCCCATCCCTAATTGTCCAGAGGGCAGCTTAGAGTCAACCACATTGCTGTGGGTCTGGAGTCACATGTAGGCCAGACCAGGTAAGGATGGCAGTTTCCTTCCCTAAAGGACATTAGTGAACCAGATGGGTTTTTCCGACCATCAACAATGGGTTCATGGTTGCCACTAGATTCTTAATTTCAGATAATTTATTCAATTCAAATTTTACCATCTGTCGTGGCTGGAATCAAACCTGGGACCCCAGAAGATTGTCTGGATCTCTGGATTAACAGTCCAGCGATAATACCACTAGTCCAATGCATATCTGGCCGTATGTACAATTATTTATACAATTCCACAGAATAGAAGAAATAAACTGAATGAACTGCAAGTGCAAATGTACTTTGGAAAGTGCAACATATTAAGGCTACAAGTACCAAGTTTATAAGGTTGTTGTGTTTTAAAGTGTGTGTTTAATTTAGGGTCAAATGAAGGGGGTTGCAGTTCAGGTAACCCATTCTGAATTCTGCTTACAGTAAAACTGGGTGGTTTGATTATTTGAAATTAAAGAGGGGCCCAGATTATTTTCCTGGGATGAAGATGCAAGGCTTGTGGGCAACAGCAGAAGACTCCATGCTAACCATGCTAATCACCAAATTGCGGGGACAATTTGAGATTGTGAAAAGTTCTACTTTCAATCGGTTACTTGAATCCAAGATTGAGTAGAGTTACGGCCTATAAGTCTTTCTAATCAGCCCACATGATTCACAGTGCCAGTGAGATTGGTTTTGAGATAGGAAGAGTGTCAAAGACACGACAGTCTGCCAGGATCCAGAGGAGAGCACAACCAACCTCAATAATTCACTGCATAGGAATATGAATGGTACCTTGCACTCAGATTGGAAACAATAAAGTTGTGAAGTGTTTAAACAAGGCTGGAGTATTCTCCTAGTTTGAATTGGAGATAGAATCCCCAGAAAAACACTCATCATGAAAAATAATTCTGCGGTATGAAGATGCTACACTTGAAAAGAACAGGAATAAACCCAAAGACCTACTTTCAAGAGAATTTGAATGTTTACTTCTGAGAATGTAAGGTATAACTATGGAGTTGAATATGAATGTAAAAGATGAAAGTTTGATTGTGTAGTTTAAAGTATGTTTTGCCTGCAAAAATAATGTTTAGTCAATTTTGCTTTAATTTGTTTGTTATAGTGAAACATAAAATCTTGCTTTTGCATCCTTTCAGTTGTTCACTGAAAGTTTGAATTTCTGTCTTTTTTTTCAAATTAACAGCCTTTATGGGGATTATTATGGCTACAGGATGATTAGGACTAAAATAAGTGTTACAAAGGTTCACCAAACTAATTCTAGATTGAGGGACTGTCCTGCGAGGAAAGTTTCAATTAGTTGGGCCTATTTTCTCCGGAGTTCGGAAGTATAAGATTTGATCTTATTGAGCACACAAAATTCTAACAGGGGTTAAAAAGGTTAGATGCAAGTAGAATGTTTACCCTCGCTGGGATAGAGATTGGAGTCTAGAATCAATGGAAACAGGGCTCAGAATAGGGGCAAAGCAGCTAAGACTGTGAAGTGGAGGAATCTTTTCACTCAAAGAGGAGTGAATCTTCAGAATTTTCTAGCCTAGACGGTTGTGGAGGCTCAGTCATTATGTCCAAGACAGATTATTAGATTTCTACATAGTAAAATCACCAAGGGATATGGGGCTGATTCAGAAAAATAGTGTTGCAAATGAAGGATAGCCATGATCTCATTGAAGTGCAGAGCAGATTCGAAGGGCTGATTGGATTACTCATGTTCTTATTTTTTATGATCTTATATATACCAGGCTAAAGGGTAAAACAGTAAAGATAGGGACATTGGTGGAGGGGAAGAATAGCATCAACAGTTAAGTCAGAAATCATTTCAATGATAAGAGAGGATAAACATATAAGTAAGCGAGCAGTCAAGGCATTATGGATATAGTTGGGAGATATTACAGGATTATACGTTCGTATGGGTGCTGTGTAAATCCCTTGGGATCAGCGGCAAATTGATAGGTTGCATAAACGCAAAGGTTAAGCAAACCTGCAGCCAAGGCACAACGGTTTTGTGGTTGTAGACTTGCTTTCTGGGCTGGTGGGTTTGATTGCAAATATTTCGTCACCCTGCTAGGTAACATTGTCAGTGTGCCTCCGGTGGAGAGTCGGTGTTCTGTCCCGCTTGCTATTTATATGCCTCGGTTTGCTGGGGTGGTTGGTATTACTTCTCAGTGAGAAACAAAACCGGAAGTAATACCCACCACCCCAGCAAACTGAGGCATATGAATAACAAGCGGGACAGAACACAGATGCTACACCGGAGGTGCACTGGTGATGTTACCTAGCAGGGTGATGAAACATACAGAAAGCTTTTGGCTGTGTGTAAAAAGAATTTATTGGAAATTGAATGATTTTGGGTGTTTTACGTATGGAGTCCCAAAAGACATTTGATAGTTCTCAATGACTATTAGTGAACACTGAAGTTCATGGAACTGAAGACAAATTATTTACTTTATTAGGAAACTTAAGGCAACAGAGAGCAAGGTTAATTGATGAATAGTAATTGAAGCTTGATCAATTCATTTACTCATTTTAAATCTGAGATTGATACAGTTTAGTTAAGATAAAGACATTCAGGGATATGCAGAAAAGGTGATTTTATATAATTAGGTCACAAATTAGTCATCATTTCATTGAATGGTGGAACTGTCTTGAGTTGCTAAATGATCAACTCCAGATAAATGACATTAATAACTTTATTGTAAATACTCATGCTGATAAAATGCTGATACAAGAAATTCTCTGTAGATTTACATGAGATTCTCGTTACAGCTATTAACACAAATTAACTCTTTAGATACCGCAAATTTATATCAATCATCTTTACTTATATAGTCAAAAGTAATGGCCAATATGCAATGTTGTAATTATGTTGTTTAATTTGACTGAATGCAGGTATAAGGAACAAGCATTATGTTTTAAAATTAGTACACAACCAAACATTTGGGCAAACGTGTGTGTTGGGTTGTGCCTTTAGCTATCAAATAAATTTGTCTTATTTTACAGTAGTAATTCAAATTTGCTTTGCTAATATTATTCAATACCACACTAGTTTAGTTAAAACATAATAGATGGACAAATATTTTAGAAATATTTAAATAACTTACCGGGTCACCTCGATAGCCAAGATCACCCCTTTCTCCTTTTCCACCTTTCATTCCTTTCACTCCCTGTGGAAAAAAAATGGACTCATGGTTTACTTTGTTTCCACGTTTATCCACCAATTTCCAACATTGCCTATCCATGCAAAAAACTACTTATTCTGATTAGGTCCACCATTATCCATATATATTTATCATCATTCCTATCTATCAGTTTTTGCTGCTTTTGGTAACCCTTCTTTTTTCTCTGCTTTCTATCAATTTTAATTTTGAACAGAGAGGCATAAAACAAGAACAGAAATTGCTGCAGAAACTCAGCAGGTCTAGCAGCATGTGTGGACAGAATGCAGAGTTAAGGTTTTATGTCCAATGACCCTTCTTCAGAACCAAAACATTAACTCTGCTTTCTCTCCACAGGTGTTGCCAGACCTGCCGAGTTTCTCCAGTAATTTCTGTTTTAGTTTCTGATTGCCAGCATCTGCAGTTCTTCGTTTTATTTTAGAGAGGCATGCAGATATGTGTAGTTGTTATCTACTCAAGGGAAGGTCATTTGCTCATTTCCCTAATTCACACAGAACCATGATTTCCTTTCCAGGTAATCACAGCAACCTCTCATTTACAACTTCAATAGGAAATTAGCAATATGACCAGAGCAAGGTTACATGAGGTCGCTTCACTTTAACTTCCTCATATGCGCTTAAAAGAAATACATTTTCTTTTTTCACCCAGAGGGTTGTAGATATATGGAACATGCTGACTGAGAGGGGGTGGACACAAGTACTCTCAAAATATTTAAGAAACATCTGGATGAGTATTTAAAATGCCAGGGCATAATAGGCAATGGACCAAGTGCAGGTAAATGGGATTAGTGTACCTTGACAATTGCTGGTCAGCATAGACAAGGTGGGCTGAAATGCCTATTTCTATACTGTATGACTCTATGATCCATGCTGAAGGACTCCCTTACTGTCAACAGGTATTGTCCCTCAAAGTTTTAGCTCTTCTGCCAGCATCATTGAAAATTTGTTGGTTTTGCCATTTGTTATAGCACATAAGCCTATATGGAACACTAATTTGGGCTTCAGGAGACTTACATAAAGGAATCCAGGATCACCCTGCAACCTACATTAAGTTTATAGGCAGACATACGCATAAATAGACAAAATGGATGATTTTGACAAATAGTGTTGAAGATAATTACTACTTTCTGATGTATTACCATTTTTAAAATACTGTTTAAAATGTTTCACTTGGAGTTCATTTGAGATAAATGCAAGGCACTGCATTTTGGAAAGGCAAATCAGGGCAGGACTTATACACTTAATGGTAAGGTCCTGGGGAGTATTGCTGAACAAAAAGACCTTGGAGTGCAGGTTCCATAGTTCCTTGAAAGTGGAGTCGCAGGTAGCCAGGATAGTGAAGAAGGCATTTGGTACGCTTGCCTTTATTGGTCAGTGTATCGAGTGTAGGAGTTGGGAGGTCATGTTGTGGCTGTATAGGACATTGGTTCAGGTACTTTTGGAGTATTGAATGCAATTCTGGTCTCCCTCCTGTAAGAAGGATGTTGTCAAACTTGAAAGGGTTCAGAAAAGATTTACAGGGATGTTGCCAGAGTTGCACGGTTTGAGCTATTGGGAGAGACTGATCAGACTGTTTTCCCTCGACCGTAGAAAGCTGAGGGGTGACCTTACAGAGGTTTATAAAATCATGAGGGACATAGATAGATTGAATAGCCAAGGTCTTTTCCCATGGGTAGTGGAGTCAAAAACTAGAGGGCATAGGTTTAAGGTGAGAGGGGAAAGATTTAAAGGGGACCTGGGGGCAACTTTTTCACAGAGGGTGGTGCGTATATGGAATGAGCTGCCAAAGAAAGTGGTGGAAGCTGGTACAATTACAACTTTTAAAAGGCATCTGGATGAGTACATGAATAGGAAGGGTATAGAGGGAATTAGGCCAAATTCGGGCAAATGGGACTAGATAAATTTAGGATATCTGGTCAGCATGGACAAGTTGGACCGAAGGTTCTGTTTCCATATTCCATAGCTGTATGACTATGACTCTATGATGCAAATACTGCCGAGAAGATAAGCAAACTTACTGATTCTCCCAAGTTGCCTCTTTCTCCTGGTGGTCCTGCTGCTCCATTTTTACCCTGCATAAAACATGAAACATTTGGTGTATCTGTAGTAGTACGAACATAACATGAACAAGTCAAATGTTTGCGGTTATTCAAATTAATAAAACAAGCAAACACGTACCTGTTCCCCATCTATTCCATCAAGACCAATTTCACCCAGTTGACCCTAGGAAAAGGAAAGGCCAGTAAACATAAAACATTAATACAGGTGAAGGTCATTATGCCCAACAATCTTATTTAGATTTCTTTTCAATTCCTTTCCTTTCAGAAAAAAACATGCACTCGCTTCTTGAACCAACAATACCACATGAGAAATTGCAACAGACGTAGCTATTCAATCCTTCAAATTTCCTGTACGATTCAATAAAATCTTTATTGATCATCTGCATTAACTATAGCTTTCCACACTATCCCACCAATCCTTAACTCTTTGACTACCCAAAACTCATTAACCTCTATCTTGAGTACACTCAACAACTGACCACCCACAACTCTCTGGCTTAGAGGATTCCAAAAATTCCCAAGTAGTTTAAGGGAAATATTTCTCCTTATCTCTGCCTTCAATAATCAGTTCCTTACTGAGAAGCCAAGCTCTAGACTCTGCAAGATAGACACACCCTTTCTCTCACTGAATTGCTGACCACTGGTCCTTCTGAGCTTGAGGGCCTGCTCCTGGCTTTTCTGTGTTGACAGTTTATCGAGTGTCCTTACTTAAAAAATAGAGCCTCCCTTCTTGCAGCTAATTGGCTAATGTGGGGAAAACCACAATGAGGTATTGCCATGTAATGTGTGGTCATGACCCCTCATTTGATCTGGCTTTGGAATATAGATCCAAAACACATAATTCTCTCCATAGTACCTGTTCAGTGGCACTTCATTTCCACTTCCCCCATGATAATTTCTCCTGTCTCTGCCCGGAAGAAACCAATGTTTTCTTTAGCTATTCTTCTTTTTTTATAAACTTGTGAAAACTCTTTAAAAGCACTTTTCAAATTCCTACATAGTTTACTCTTATATTCCAGTTTCCCCTTTTTCTCAATTAGTTACTTGGATTCTGTTGGTTTCTAAAACTCTCCCAATATTTAGGTTGACTATTATGTATTGCTACTTTTGTAAGCCTCTACTTTTAATCAAATAATAACTTAATAAATCCCAGATAGATCTTTTACACAGATGTTTATCAATGGAATATGATGTGGTGAACTTATTGAGTCACTTATGAAATGCTTTCACTATGAATCTATTGAGGGTTATAGAGACAGGGCTGGACGATGGGATTGGCTGGATAGCTCTATCGAGATCTGGTACAGACTCAATGGGCCGAATGGCTTTCTTCTATACTGTAAATTATACAATTGTTATGTACTTTCATAACTTTTAATATCTACCCAATCAATCTCAGCCATTTTTGTCTTCACCCCTTTATAATGATATTTCTTTACTATAAAGTTATTAACTGATACTGTTTCACAGCACACTCCTAGATCTAAAAATAGCCTGTTCCCTAGCTGGTTCCTGAATCTGCTCTAATCATTGAGTCGCCATGAAGAAGGCTATTTTTGGTCCACTGAGTTCATGCCAGCTCTCTGTACAGCAATCAGTGAGGCCAGTTTTCTCACATTATCCCAGCAGTTCTTCAAGTTCACTTATTTTACCAGTTTATCCAATTTCTTTCTGAAATCATTGATTACCTCCACTTCCGCTACCATTATGGACTGCAAGTTCAGGGTCATTTACACTCGTGGTATAAAACAGATTCTCCCTTGCATCTCCCTGTAACTCTTGTCCAAAGTTTTGGATCTGTCTATCTTAACCCATGTACCATCAGCTAAAAGGAACAACTTATCTTTGCCCTTTTTATTGAAACCTGCTATCTTGAGCAAATCATCCCTCAGCCTCATTTTATGAAAGGAGAACAACCAAAGCTTCTCTTTAGCTGAACTTCCCCATTCCTGGAGGCATTCTGATAATACTCCTCTGGAACCATCACATTGTTCCTAAAGTGAAAAGAGCTGGATACAATACTCCGGTGGTGGCTTAACTAGAGTTTTATTGAGATTTAGAAAACTTCCCTGTTGTTGTGTTCAATACCTCTCCATCTATGCACACAACTTTCTAGGTCCCACAGTTGGTACCTTGTCAAACACCTGTTAGAATCCATGAAGACCACATCCACTGCATTCCAATGATTAATCTTCAAATCACTTTTCATTTTTACCTCTTACGATTACCTTTTATCCAGCCTTACCATGGCTGCTTTTTATCCTGGGCCTCTTGCAGTACTGGCAGTTGCCACCGTTCTCGGTGGCACTGTTAGATGCCGCCAGCAGCTATTGGAGGTGATGTACCTGTCCTGAAGGCCCTGGTAATGCTGCGGCAAGAAAGTGATTGAGACCAGATTTCATCAGGACTCCCAGAAATGGCAGTGGTGATACAGTCACCGCCTCGTGTACAGATGGCTGGTGCCACAGACTTTAAGTCCAGATCTGCATTTCTGAGAGAGACATCAATGACCATCATTTGGACGGTCTTTGTATCTTGTGAGGCAAACAGTTATGATTGCTTCACTAACGTGGACGGCTTAATTACTTCAAACTTTACATCGACATTTTGATGAGAACGTACCTTCTCGCCTGGATATCCACGGCTACCCTGTAAATTAAAAAGAAAATCACAATAATCACATGGAATTTTACATCTTGATAACATTTCTTTTAATTGTAATGTTTCTCATTACTTGCCTTAATTCCGCTCTGTCCTCGACATCCTTGGAACCCTTGAGTTCCATTTATACCTGGTGGACCTCTTTCACCCTGTCAGAAATAAAAAGGATTAAATAATTCAAGCTCTTCAATATTACCAGCCTAAACATCTATGGGGAAACGGGGAGGAATAGGGTTGGGAAACCCACAAATGCTGAATTTTAATAGTATGCAGGGCCTCAAGTACAGATTTTGTCTTGATTTTCTGGCTAGCTGCTGGCCATAAGAGAGTTTCTAGCTGTTAAGTGAGCAGATTTGCCTCATGACAGAGCAGCCTTTGGGAGCCGAGGAGACAGGATCGTGGCAGGAGGAATGGGCTTTTGGTGGCCGGGGCTTTGGTGAGGTGGAGTTAGTTTAGGAGGTCAAAGGAAAGTGATGCTTCTCCTCTTGGTCCACGGAAATGTGGTAAAGACACTTACACATTGGGTTTGGGTGTTCTTGCACCATTCAGCTGTCAGATGTGCAGGACTTTAAACATAAAACTGAGGGGAATTTCAGGTACATTGCCTCGTTGGTATAAATAAAGTGCAGGACTCTTGAAGGCGCGCTGGAAAAGTTAGCCTTATAATATGGCTTCACCTCTCATTTCTACTGAAGTAGACGTAGACTAGGCAGTGATGAGAGAAATGAAAGATTTCTTGCTCCTGATAGGGATACAGATATTCCTTTGCAATCACTGGATAGCAAAGGAAAAGATCAGATTTGACAATAATACATTTACAGTCAAGCAGTTCTTAACACTTATGCCTAGTCTTGTTTTGAAAAATGGTAACTTGCACAATGGCACAGGAGAATAGCGCTGCACAAGGTTTAGTATTTTGTGACAGATGGGAAGGAAAACTGTGATGTGGAGAACTTACGTAAATGCTTTATGTAAAACAAAAACAAAAGGATAAAGTTCTTGAGTTGTCAGTTGTTAGAATATGATTGATCTTTTAAAACATATGGATTTAGGATATGGTATCATAATATGTAATAATTATACTTACTGGTGCACCTTCATCACCCGGGTGACCCATAATACCTTTAGGTCCTAGTAAACCCTGAAACAACAAGATTGCATGAGATGCGTTGAATTGGTAGTAATTAATTGATAATGATCATGCTAATGACTCATCAGTGCAGATTTTCAAACAGCTGTTCAGTGGATATACTGGCATGCAAGATCACCTGCCAATGAAACAACCTATCTGATATCCTTTTCCACTGATTTCAATAGGAGTTAAAACCAAGATTGTTTCTACAAGAAGTGGCCAATTTTACACCAGTTGTGTCAGTTTTACACCAGGGCAGCAAGTTGAGAACTTGTGCAGTTGTATGGGTGGGAGAATATAGTGCAATTCAATACAGTAAAATATACTTGCATCAGATCATACTTGCTCTAAGATCAGTTATAAATGGAGATGCATCATACACGTGATTTGCCTCTTCCCTTATAATTTACTTGCAGTCCATCAGTATATACAGTAATACTCTTAAGTGCAGTCCAAGCAAGATTTGATTCAGGTTAAGCATGACTTTCTTAGTTTTCGACGCATCATTAAACTAAAGAGGGTACGAAACTTAAGTTTGGCCTTATTCACTAATTAGGGAACCAATACAAATATGTAGCATATACAAAAATGCAGTAGTGATTGGTAAAGCTTACCTTAACTCCACGTAATCCCTGAGTTCCTCTGTCTCCTACTTGACCAGCGCACTTACATGATACATCACAACACACTCTCTCTGCAATATTATCCTGTCAAGATATTGTAGAGTTTAAGTATTTAATTCTGAAAGCACACAAGGACTTTGAAAACATAAGTGTGCAGAATTAAAAATTTGATCTTACGAGTTCTTCTGCTAGTTCATATTCTAAATCCATCTGTGTGATTGACAGAGGTCGCCTGTACCTAAATCCTCGCCCAAATTCCAATAACGAAACTTCCTCAAACCCCATTGGTGCTTCTAAAGATACAATGATCAGTGCATGTACACTACCTGTTGGATATAGTAACAGGAACAAAACGGTTACTCGTTTTTTAAAAATGATAACAACCTAAATTCCACATGTTTACAACTCATGCAAGAATATTTGATTAAGTGAAGTGCTTTTCAGCTATGTAAAAATAAATTAAGATTCAAAAGAAAACATTGTTTTAAGTTTTTTCCAACCCTTTCTTCGCTACTGAGTTCAAATTAAAAGATATCTAAAGAAAAACGTCATGTATTTATTACATATGTTGTGATCATCAAATATCAAGTGATATTTAAACAGTGCATTGACTGCTCAATTTCTATGAACCTTAGAAATAACAATCATCTGAGAATGAAATTGAAGAAAGTGAATGAGAATTGATGGTTTTTACTTTTTTTTGCACCAAAGAAAATTTACAGTCTTCAGCTGGAGACATAGTGCTAAGAATAGAGAAACATTTTTGCTTTAATATACCTTCTCTCCGTAGCTTTATGGCCTGACTTTTTAATTGAGAAAAGTTGTCATCTATGCCATCAGTGAAATGGATAATTACCTTCAAAACAGAAGGAAAACAACACTGTCACACATAAAAATTGAACATTGCTGTTATTACTATCCAAGCTCAGGTACAGTCAGATCCTAGAGGAAACCTGGCCTATTTAGATAGTAATTTTGTTCTTTTTTTTAAAATAATGGAGGTCAGTTGTTGAACATATTCATAAGAGGCTGCCAGTATACTTTTAATTCAAATAGTAAAATCTTCACTAAACAAGGAGAATAAGATACTAGACAAAAAAATTGGAAATGCTTCACTATAATAGATTTACAGAAATAGATTTACAGTCACATATTCCTTTTATCCCAGGATTATTCTTAAAGTTGCACAAACAGCAGCAAAGAGTCACCATTATCTCCACACTGTAACCACTTCTGGTTTGGCAAGTTTCTATACATTCACTTGACATAATTTGACTTGATGTAATTCACTTTGTATAATTAAACAAACTGCAAACTAAACTCACAGTTGCTTTAACTTCAGAGAAAACGCGAGTTCCCTAAACTCAGATTCCAGCAGCTTTTGATGGGTTTTTCTTAGAACAAAGAATGTAGAAATATACAGCACAGGAACGGGCCCTTCGACTCACGATGTTGTGCTGAACGTGACGCCAAACTAAACTAATCCTTTCTGCCTGCCCTTGGTCCATATCCCTCCATTTCTTCCATATTCATGTACTTATCTATCTCACAAACGCCCCTATCATAACATAGGATTTAACAATTCTGTCTCCTCCTCTCTGTAACACACCTAAACACAGACTGATTTTCTGGACGCTCCATCTCTCAGTGTGTCACTGGATTCCAGTTGCTAGACAATAGCACAGTTTTTACTTTTTTATATACAAAACTATTCATCCCAGCTCTTCAATTTAAAGTCATAAAACTTCATTAAATTGCACATAAACACTCAAGCTTCCATTCTCCCAGTAACAAGTCCACAAGAACAATTCCAAAAATGACCAACCATGCCTTCACTCTCTCACCACACAAAGTGCAAAATGTAAATTAAGCTTAAAAGTCAAACATTATTTTTAACATTTGTGGTAAAATCAATTTTTGCCTCTTGTTGAATTTGTCTTACTTTGTATTTCTGGACAGCTAGAGAATCAATACCTCAAGTGGTAATGCGCTAAATCATACAAAACAATCCAGCAGCAGGACCGCTGACATTTACATAGTTGCATACGGAGAGGTTTCGTCAAAATGTAAACTTGGTTTAGTCCATATGGCATTGTTCCATCAAGTGCCATTGTACACTAGAAATTTAAAAACACCAAGTCCTTAAAAATGTAGGGTCATACATTATTTCTTGAGGGCAGTGGGCTCTTCAATTATTTATGAATCCTTTTGGAAAGAGGAGACTTCTTTGACTCAGTAAAGTACCCTTTGATTGCAGAGGAGATAGAAACCTTATATCTTGCAATTCCCAAAAAGGAGATATAGGAAAATGAGCAATTCAAATGGCACAGCTAACAGCCAAAAGCCTGCCTGTGGTAAACAGCTAGGAAAATGTTTAGCTATTAATTTATCTTTCATTTATCAACTGATTCTTTTTTGGACAAAGGGAGTTGCATTTTTTTAAATTTTGTTTTGTGTTCACACAACGGCAATTGCACTTTACTGTGAAAGTTGACTTTACCTACACAATTTAGGCGGACCATTCATTTCTTTGAAGCCTGTTTCATAATTTTTTTTTCTTTTATTCATTTGTGGGATGTGGATGTCGCTGGCTGGCTGGCACTTATTGCCTAACCCTAGTTGCCCTGGAGAAGGTGTGATGAACTGCCTCCTTGAACCGCTACAGTCTACCTGCTCTGGGTTGACCCACAATGCCACTGGGGAGGGATCTTGAAGGTGCTGGTGTTCTCGCGTATCTGCTGTCCTTGTTCTTCTGGATGGAAGTTGATGTGGGTTTGAATTTGGCAAGAATGCTTTATCCAGTCTGTTATCCGTAAGACAGCAGAATTTAAATGGCAGTGCTCGATGCATTCCAATACCTGTCATGTTGAGGAAATGTTCTCCGGATTGTGTTCTCATTTCCCGAGGGAATGTACAATAAACGTGAATTCCAAAACATGAGCACGCAGACACAGCAATCTTCTGCCCTGCAGCCTAAGTCTAAGCTAAACATGGATATGAAACTCAGTTCTGCGCAGGATGGGGGTGGGCAGGCTGGATTTTCTCCTGTGGGCAGTGAATCTTGTGAGGGAGATCAGCAGGGAGGTAATGCCTGTACCTCATGGAACTAAAGCTTTTGGTGCCATATTTAAATGGTGCCTGGTCTGGTAATCACTCGTGGCAAACTAGAAGCATCACTAGGGCTGGAAGAGTGAGTGCCTGCTGCCACATATTCTGTTTTTTAAACCCTTTCTTGGTCAGCCTGCCAGAGAGACAGGACTTCACCCTCGGCCATCCTGCCTATTGGATGTTCATTACACTCCTGCCTCCTTCCCATGGTCATTGTCTGTTCCCAGGGCAACTTAGATTACTGCCATGGCACAGCACAGACAAACTCTCCACAAAGAGAACTAAAGCAGTAGCTACTCATTCCAAATTCCAGCAATTACAATACCTCATCTACTGTATGTCTCTTATGTGTAGTTATAGACTCATAGAACCATAGAGCACAGAAACAGACCCTTCAGTCCAATATGTCCATACCAACCAGGCAACTCAATCTGACCTAGTCCTATATGTCAGCATTTGACCCATGTCTCTCTAACCCCTTCCTATTCATATATCCATGCAGATACCTTTTAAACATTGTGATGGTACCCACCTCCACCATTTCCTCTGGCAACTTGTTGCATACATGCACCACACTCTGCATGAAAAGTTACCCCTCGGGTCCTTTCTAAATCTTTCCCATCTTACCTTAAACCTACACTGTCTAGTTTTGGGCTCCTCCATCCTTCGAAAAAGACCTTAGTTATTCATCCTATCCATGCCCCTCAGTTAGAAGACATATGTTACTGATTCACAAAGAACTTAATCATGAAGGGGGATTTCATTCTGGTGAGCTGGCCTTTCGAGAAACAAGCATGGCATGCAAATGATTGCAAAAGGTCTTCCTGACATGTGCTTATCGGAGACGCAACCTGCCCTAAATCTCCAAGAACTCAATTGCAAACTTTCATCTCACCAACGAGAATCTGATTTTTCGCCGCTCGCACAATTAACTGCTCCTGCTCGCCTTGTTTCCTGCTCCCAAGGACGACACAACATTCTGCCAACAATCCATTCATGTGAGTGACCAATGACGATAAACCCAAGAAGTTCAGAAGCACAGAAAATGTCATTTCAAAATTTATTTTCACAAAGGTAACATTATAAATCTGGGAGAACACCAGCCCTTGACAGTTGTCCTGCAGACCCAACCAATAATAAATTTTCCTTTAAAAAGGAAACAGTCTAACTTTTAACGCCCATGACTTACCTTTACACGATTAGAACTGTCAGATTGAAAGGTGTCCCTGTATGCATCGAATGTTCCAGTATTCAAGACATACGGGCCAGAACTTCTTAGATCGCTGAACTGAGCCATTATTCCGGGGTGATAGTCGACCAAATCAATGACATGTCTTTGGCCACGTTCATCAAAAACTGTGACTCCAACTCTTACTTTGGGTGACATTGTGCCAGTGCAGCTCATAGATTTCAACTGTGAAATTCTCTGGAGTATGTTTCCTGCTTTGGGCAGGAAACCTCTCTGTGTCACAAAAACATCGTTTTCTAATCCAACGCTACTGACATCAAATCCAAGCAAAACATCAATACCGCAATCTGGAGGGAACAAAAAAAAATTTTGTTTCCTTCGAAGTCTGTAGTGCGTAAATAGAAGGTTGACAGGTATCGTCAAACATCTGAGTATATCATATAGCATAGGTGAATAAATCTCCACAATGATTGGAAGAATTGGGGTCTTTAGTGCTCTAGTTTCAAAAGCTTCAGGAATGAAATATTGACCATCGTGTGAACATTCTGATAATTGGCCAATAAGGTTAGTTATATGATTTAACTGTGTGTGAAAATCCCCTACATTTTCTGTCTAAGCAATTATATTTTTGTGAATACACTTTAACTTCAGACAAATGTATCTATGCCATGAAATTACACTTTCACTTTAACAATGTACACACCTTTGGGGTGCCCCAGAAGAGATAATCTTCTGAGAAGTAATCACTAAGGACAGTGAGTGAGATTCCAAGATGGGAGAGCAGGACATCGGCGCTCTATCCAATGGAGCCAATGGAAGCAGTGACGAGAGTCAGTCTGATGGAGCAGCAGAGAAACACTGCAGGTGTCACAAACATTTGTGGAGCAGAGGCATGGTTCACCTGCATGTGCTCATTTCCTGCTGGTGAGTGCTTCAACAGGCTCAAAGGCTCTAACCACCTGCTGTGTGGCTGTCTCTTTGCAGTGGCAGGGGTCTAACATAGACAGTTTGTCGGAGAGGGTTGGTGGTGTGCAGAGGCACATGTACTGCTTGCAAGACTCCAGGTGGATCCAAATATAGGGGCAAAGAGTCCTTTTCAGTACCTTAATTGGAAACTTGAATCTAATGGACTGACAGTAGGGAGGTCAGCCACTGGGAAGATATCCTGGAGGTAGGAACATGTGGAGAGTCAGTCTGACATAAGGGGTTCCAAATTTTCATGCCATCCTGTTTACCATAATCTCCTCTGTTGTTCTGAATTAATTCTGCCCAACTTGTCAACTCATTGAGATTTCCATGCTTCTAATACGACCCCTTATTCCCAGATTTTTTTTTAGAAAGAGCATATTCTGATAATTTAAAATATATCATTGGGATGTATTAAAATATCACAGTAATGGATTTGTTTCAGAAAGAAAAAGAATTCAATTTATTCACTCCATCTTTAGATGATGGAAGTATAGAAATCTACTAAGGTGTGGGCAATTTAGTTCATCATGTTTGTGCCTGTTCTTTGATTGGGCAGTTCAAGTCTTTTAGCCTCCTTCTGGCTGCTCTAGTGATGTAAAAACACACGGGAGAATCAAAGTTTAACGCTGTCTCCTGTGATTTTTCACAAAAGGTAATCATCAGATGATGAGCAACCTGGATAACTAGATTCTCTAGTATTGACACAGGTTCCACAAACTGTCTCTGAAAGAAATATATGAGTTCAGGCGAGTTAGAACTTCAAAGCATAAATGAATTAAGGTAGAGTTAAGAGTTAGAGCTTTGGACAAACAGTACGTATCAGATTCCAAACCCAAACTAGCATGAGATCATCATTGTCTTTCAGCTCAGAGAAACTGGCTGGCCTTTATGTGAATTACAGTCAGGGATTATGGATCGATTTTACACCATTACCTGTGAGATATTATCTAACTCAGTACAGAGCAGGGCTCAGAATTGAAACAGATCACAGTGTAACTGAAACTTAAAACCCAAACCCTCTCCCGCTGCTTGGTTATTCACTTTTATGCAAAATACAAGTATTTTGAATTTGATGTTACCTTTTACAACATCAACCGTTTTCGGGCACAGTTCACCTTCTATGACATCAGTTGTGGCTAATAACACTTGCTCGGTCAATTCAGACAGCGTGTTCATGTCAGCCACTCTGAAAACTCCAGCTTGTTCACTTGCGATGTCAGAGATCTCCTGAATGTCTGCATCCTGCATTCCCACAGTGAAGATTTTGAATCGAGCTGCCTTTAGCTCCCTTGCAGCAGCTACTGCGTCATCGTTTGACTTGCCCCCGATTAGCAGGAAAGCGAGTTGTGGGACTCCATCTTCAATCCTACTTCCTGCTGATTTAACAAAGTGGTTGTTTTTAACATGTCTCAAGGCTGCTCCAGTGTTTAGTGACCTGCCTCCCTTGAACTGAATATTCTGAATAGCTTCGAGGACGTCAGCTCTTGATCGGTAAGCATTGAAGAAAAATTCATCATTCACATCGGAATTGTACTGGACAACTCCCACCTGGATTGATCCATCATCAACATAGATAGCATCAACTACACTGGAGACAAACTCTGTGAGACGGGGGAAATTCTGTCGTCCAATGTTAATGGATCCATCCAAGAGAAATACAATATCGGCTCTTTTCTGTGGCAAAGCTTGAGAAACAAATGAAATACATTAAAATACAGCAATTGGAAATATCGTTAAATGTATAATAATAAGCAACCCAGACTTGTCATAACTTGCTATGGATTATTAACCATTTTAAGTCTTTATGTATAAATTTAATTTCCTCTCCAGCCCATTGACTTTCTGCCCTATTGTTTGAACCCGTGAGTTATATTTTGGTTGATTCCAGTGCATGGGCCACTCTAAGTTACCATTATATGTAAGTGAAAGTTCATCGGAAACTAGGAATAGGGACTTCATATTGTATCGCAGTTGAATCCAACCCGGTACTCACCAGGTTCAGCCAGCTCCAGATATCATTGTAACCTTGGTCCAAACATAGACAAAAGAACTGAATGGTAGAGGGGAGTGAGAGTGGCTTCCCTTGACATTGGGGCAGATTTTGACACAATGTGGCATCAAGAAGCACGAGCAAAATTAGAGTCAATGGGAATCGAGTGAAAACTTTCTGCTGGTTAATGTCATACCTTGCAGAAAAAGAAGATGATTGGACTTGTCAGAAACTATGATATTGCTGAAGGAGTTCCTCAGGGTAGTTTTCCATGCACAACTATCTTCAGCTGCTTCGTCAATGACCTTCCCTCCAACATAAGGTTGGAAGCGGGGACGTTCACTGATTTTCGCAAAGCGTTCAGAACACCCTGAGTCTCTGTAGAGGTTAACGCAGACAGTGCTTGCATGCATGTCCCGGGGAACATTCAAGTTTAGGGTAATAAGTGACAAACAAAACTTGAGTCAGGCAACAATCATCTCATATTAATGTTCAACTACGTTACCATCATTGAACTCCAAAACATAATAACCTGGGGCTATCATTGACCAGAAACTGACCTGGATGAACCATATGAACACTGTGGTTACAAGAACAGATCAGAATTCTGCAGGGATTAACTCACCTCCTGTCTCCAAAAGGTTAGAGAACCATCTAAAAAGGCACAAAGTGTGATGGAATACTCTGTACTTGTCTCAATTAGTTCAGCTTCAACAGAACTTAAGAAGTTCAACCCCACCAGGACAAAGCAGTCTGCTTGATCAACACCACATCTAGCACCTTAAATGTTCAGTCCATCCACCACCAGAATGCAATGGCAGTCTGTGGACTATCTATAAAATGCACTGCAGCAACTTATCAAGACACCTTTAGGGCAAAGAATGGGCAGATGGACTGTAATGACAGAGAATGTGAGATTACGCACTTTGGCAGGACGAGCTTGAATGTTATGTAAATAGGGAAAGACTGCAGGAAGCTGCAGCGCAGAGGGATATGCAGGTCCTAGTGCATAAATCACCAAAACCAGTATCCAAGTTCAGTGGATAGTAGGGAAGGCACTTGGAATGTTGGCCTTTATTTCAAAGGGAATAGAGCATAAAAATAGGGAGCTCTTGCTAAAACTATTCAAGGCACTTTCAGATCACAGCTGGAATAAGTGAACAATTTTGGTCCACTTATCTAAGGAAAGATATACGAGCATTGGAGGCAGTCCAGTGAAGGTTCACGAAGTTGATCCTGAGTTTGGAGGAGCTATATTATGAAAAGAGGTTAAGTAGGTTGGGTCTTTACTCATTAGAGTTTGGATGAAACATTAAACTCTCAGGGGGCTCGACAGGGTAGATGCAGAGAAGTTATTTCCCCCACTGGGGGAGTCTCGGACCAGAGGGCATAATCTAAGAATAACAAGTTGCCTATTTAAGACAGAGATGAGGATTTTTTCTCTCTCAGAGGGTAGTGAATCTGTGGAATTATTTATTGCAGAGAGCTGTTGAGGCTGGGTCATTAGGTATATTCAAGCCTGAGATAGACTGGTTTCTAATCATTAAGAAAACTAAGAATTATGGGGATAAGGCTGGAAAGTGGAATTGAGGATTAGCAGATCAAGCATGATCTCATTGAATGGATGTGTGGACTTGATGGGCTGAATGGCCTACACCTGCTTCTACATTTCATCTCTAACAGTAATTTTCAAACTGCAACCTCTATCACGAGAAAGGACAAGGACAGAAGATGCATCGTGATGCCATCACCTGCAAGTTCTTCAGAAAAAAAGCACACATCATTTAACTTGAAACTTACCACCATTTCTTCAGTGTCACTGGGTCAAAATCCTGGAACTCCCTCACTGACAGTTCTACATGTACCTGTACCACATGGATGGCAGCAGTTCAAGGACGTAGGTCATCACCGCCTTATCAAGGGCAATAAGAGATGGTCAGCAAATACTGGCCTGGCCAGTAACACTTGCATCTCATGACAGAATAGGGAAAAATCAGGTAGCTCCATGTGCATTTTCTACCTGGGTTAATGGATAGTGATTAATGGAGAGCAGTGGACCACACTTCCTCTCTTTAGGTTGTGATTCAAAGACAAGTTGTAGCAGTTGCAAAAAAAAAAATCACTCTCGACAAAATACATCAGAAAATTTAAAACAAGAATGATAAATGATGAAGACATTTTCATAATTTCTTCATTGACAAAACCAGCTCGGTCATATTGAAACATACAGTTACACATGTATGCACGAAATTGTCATCACGTAAGTTGTGCACTTTCTCCCTCCTGCACTAAATATAGTTGCTATTTATTTTAGAAATCAGGAAATATTGACACATGCGATTAAAAAAGCAGCAAAACCATATAAAATGAAATCTCACAATTTGATATATTAGATTACAAACAATTCATAACAGTCCATTGCTAAATATTTTAGCTGATAGGTTACCCCACTGGGAATGGATTAATGCCTGAGTTGAAACAGCAGGCAAGAGAATTTCATACAGTCTTATCCAGTATTATAAATAACAGCTTTAGAAACATACCTGCAGTGGGAGGTTCTGGTCGATATAATGTAGGGTCATCCATCAACAAACGCAGGATCAGTTTGTCTTGCACACCTTCCAGATCTTGGAAGTTATTTACTTTGTAAGTAGCATAAGGAAGAGTTGTGATTCGTTCAAGTTCATCTGGATCCACATTCCTTCCTCCCACACTGAAAACATTAATTCCTGAACTTTTTAATATGCCTAAATAAGGGCGGGTATCATCTCTAGAAGAGTCTCCAGTAATAACTATCAGATACTGGGGAGCACCTTCATGCTGTCTGCTTCCTGCTGATCTTGTGAAGTGATTTTTCAAAACAAAGTCCAACGCTCTGCCAGTGTTAAGTGGAGACCCACCTCCCGGCCTAATTCGCCTGATAGCGTCTTGAAGGCTGCCTTTATTCATGTGTTGTTTCAACAGAAACTCTGTTTTTGGAGTGTTGCTGTATTGTGCCAAACCAACTCGGACCTTGTTGGGTCCAACATCGAGGCTTCTAACTATGCTGATGAGAAAATCGCGAAGGTGGGCAAATTGCTGAGATCCAACGCTGCTGGATCCATCAATCAGGAACACAATGTCTTTCTTGGCAGGATCCACAACTGCAAAACAATTAGATTTTTTTTACTTGGTCAACAGCTCACAATAGCTGAAAATTACATACAGCTAACTCATACTGTCGCAACTTATAAATACATCTAACAAGCGCTCCAATGATGCGGTGTTGGTGTTCCTACCTCTGAACCAGTAAATACTGGTTCAGGTCTGACCTGCTCCAAAAGGTGGATAAGAACATGGAACAAAAACAGAAGTTGCTGGAAAAGCTCAGCAGGTCTGGCAGCATCTGTGAAGAAAAAATCAGCGTTAACATTTCGGGTCCGGTGACCCTTCCTCAGGACTGATGGTAGCTGGGAAAACATCAGTTTATATGCAGAAAATAGGTAGGGGGATGTGGTAGGGAGTAAACGATAGGATAGAGCCCAAAGACAGAGAAGAGCAGTTGGATAGACAATGAAGTTGATAATGATCTGGCTAGGAGGGTGAATCGTTGTTAATGGGGACTGTTAGTGATTAACAATATGTAGTGTGTGATAGCAGGCTATGTGATAACAAGGCCTGATGTGTGGGGTAGGGGGCTACAACATAGGAGAGTTTAGGCCCTAAAATTATTGAACTTAATACTGAGCTTGGGGACCCTGCAGCCCTCCAGATTCAATATCGAGTTCAGTAATTATAGAGCCTAAACTCTCCCATATCCTAGCTCCTACCCCAATTCCTTCGCCTCCACTGCATCTGCTCCCGAGATGAGGCATTCCACTCCCGCACATCCCAGATGTCCTCGTTTTTCAAGGACCGCAATTTCCCCTCAACAGTGGTTGGAAACGCCCTCGACCGCATCTCTCACGTTTCCTGCAACTCATCCCTCACACCCACTCTCCGCAATAACAGCAAAGACAGAATCCCCCTCATCCTCATGTACCATCCCACCAACCTCCGGATTCAACACATCATCCTTTGCCAATTCCGCCACCTGCAATCTGACCCCACTACCAAGGACATTTTTCCCTCCCCACCTATATCTGCCTTCTGGAGGGACCACTCTCTCCGTGACTCCCTCGTCCGCTCCACACTCCCCACCAGCCCCACCAGCCCTGGCACTTTTCCCTGCAACCGCAGGAAGTGCTACACCTGCCCCTACACCTCCCCCCTCACCCCCATCCCAGGCCCCAAGAAAACCTTCCACATTAAACAGATGTTCACCTGCACATCTGCTAATGTGGTATATTGTATCCGCTGTTCCTGATGTGGCCTCCTCTATATCGGGGAAGCCAAGCGGAGGGTTGGAGACTGCTTTGTGGAACACCTACGCTCGGTTCGTGACAAATGACTGCACCTTCCAGTCGCGAACCATTTCAACTCCCCCTCCCACACCTTGGACGACATGTCCATCCTAGGCCTCCTCCAGTGCCACAACGATGCTACCCGAAGGCTGCAGGAACAGCACCTCATGTGGACTTTACAAGCTTCAAAATCTCCCCACCCCCAACCTCATCCCAAGACCAGCCCAGCTCATCCCCGCCTCCCTGACCTGTCCGTCTTTTCTCCCATCTAGCCGCTCCTCCCACCTTACTGACCAACCCACACCCCCACCTCCTACCTGTCAGCCTCATCCCTGCCTCCTTGACCTGTCCGTCTTCCCTCAACTGACCAACCCCCATCCCAACTCCCCACCTACACTCACCTTTACCGGCTCCATCCCTGCCTGCTTTACCTGTCCGTCTTCTCTCCACCTATCTGCTCCTTTATCTACCTTCCATCATCGCCTCCCCCTCTGTCTATTTATTTCAGAATCCCCTTCCCCTCCCCCACTTCTGAAGAAGGGTCCAGACCCAAAATGTCAGCTTTCCTGCTCCTCTGATGCTGCCTGGCCTGCTGTGTTCATCCAGCTCTACGCCTTGTTATCTCAAACCCCAGCATCGGCAGTTCCTACTATCTCTGAGCTAGGAAAGTGAGTTGTGAAGAGGACATAGGGAGCCTATAAAAGGGATATAAATAGATTAAGTGAAGTCAGCAAAGAACAGGCAAATGAAGTATGATGTGGGAAAGTGGGAAATTGTCCATTTTGGAAGAAAGAATAACAAAGAAGCAGATTATCAAAACAGTGAGAGGTTGTAGAGCTCTAAGACGCAGAGCGATCTGGTGTCCTGCTGCATGAAGCGTAAGTTGTATGAAAGCAACCAGGTAATGAGGAAAGCTAATAGAATGTCATGGTTTATTGTGAGGGGAATTGAAAGCAAGATTATGCCTCAGTCATGTAGCAGATAGGTGAGACCACATCTGGGGTACTGTTTATAGGACTGGTCACTGTAATTATGGAAATATGGCATTGCATTGGAAGTAGCTCAGAGAAAGTTTACTGAACTAGATGTGGAACATTTAAATAAATTTAAGGCAGGGGTAAATGGCTTCTTGATTACCTGGTGGATTAAAGATTATTAGGGATATGCAGGAAATAATGCTGACCTTGATAATGTTGATCTCGCCTAGCGCAAACCCTGTGCGAGGTAACTTGTACGCCACTGTCTAGTTTTTTTCACCCTATGATCTGTATGTCCTTGCTTACTATGATCTGCCTGTACTGCTCATAAACAAAGATTTGCACTGTACTTAGGTACACATGACAATAAATCAATCAAAGAGATTAAAGAATGCAGAGTTGAGGTTCAAATCAGATCAGTCATGATCTTATTGAACCTGGAGCAGCCTCAAAGGCCTGGGTGGCCTATTCTTGTCCTTTGTTTGTATGTTCGTAGATTTACGAAGAATTCTTGTCTTTTTGTTTCTCATGGTTCCCAAACGCCGTGTTAATATTCACAAGGGAAGCCTAGAATCTCACAGTGTTTACAAGACGGGCAGCAGGGAATTTTCAGAGGTCGCCATTGTGCGTTACTGCTCACAGTAAGTCCCCATGAAGGGAGAAAAAGAGAACTAAGAGAAATGGAAAATCAGAGAACCAACAAGCCACATAAGTAAATGCCAAGATAAGTGACTAATAGCTTGGTGAAACAGGCAGCATTACAGGATAGTTATAGCAAAGAAGGAGGCAACTCGGTTCCGCAGCTCACTACAAGGGCAATGTAACTGGTCACACCTCTCTTGTTCACTCCCGGTAGCACTGAATTCACTTACCCCCTAAAATTACATATCCTTTTGTAAGTAATAATTTAATCTACCTCCACCCCTCCTCAGGCAGTACATTCCAAGCCAATTCAAAAAGCATTTTAGAACCAAGCATCTTTTGTGGATCTGCAATCACATCAAGACCAAGCAAGGCCAGGTAATGACAGCAGATTTCTTTCCCTAAAGGACATTCAATTTATTAGACATTTATATTGCCTATCCTCATTCTTACTAAAATGGGTAACTTTACACCTCTGCATTAAATTTCATCCACCATGTGTTCAACCAATCCTCTAGTTTGCCTATGTGCTAATAAAGTTCATTACCACCCTCTTCACACTTCATGATATCTCTCCAAGTTTTGTACCAAATGCAAATTTTGAAATTGTGCCCTGCATCAGTTCATTAATGCGCATCTTGAACCAGCGGCTGAACTGGACCAGCCGTATAAATACAGTGATTCCATGATCAGATCAGAGTCTAGGAATTTTGTGATCTCCTGGCCCCCTGAAGTGATTCACTCTTAACAAATCCATGCTGGATTTCTTGAATTAATTCACACTTGTCCAAGTTACTATTGATTTTGGCTCTTTGCCAGGCAAAAAAAAACTTCCTTTCACCAAGACAATACTAGCTGGACTGCAAGTTCCTGGGCCGATCCATTCACACACACCTTTTGAACCAGGATTCAACATTTCTAATTCTCTATTTCTCTGCCACTACCCCTGTATACACAGATGATTGGAAAACCATGACCACTACCTCTGCAACCTCTGTCCTTATTTTTCTCAGCATCCTTGCTTGCAGCTCATCTGATCCTGGTGATATATCGATTTTTAAGTGCAGCCTGCCTTTCTAATACCTCCTCTCAATCAATATTAGCCCATCTAGTACTGGAATTGTCACCCCTGTCATCGTTACTTTGACAGCATCTTTTTCTTTGGGATTCATTTATTATTACTGCAAAGACCTTTGCTGCCCATACGTAGGTCCAGTTTTCAGCATTTAAACAACCCCACTCCTCTTCTCAACATCCTTTCATTTATATTTATAACGCTGTTTGGATTCCCTATCATATTTTCCTCTGTTCCCTTTTCTCTTTACTTCTGATTCGAACTTTTTATATTCAACCCAAATTTCATCATATCTGCCACATGCCCCCTTTTTCTGCTTGACCTTGGCTCTTCTACCATCCAAATCTCTCAAATTTTGGTCACCCTAGTGATAATGTCCCTTTGACTATATTTGAACTACTTCTACTTTAGTGATTGCCAATTGTTTGGTTTCAGTTTTGTCTACCAATCCTTGATTCCAATTTACCTGGGTGAAAACTGATCCTCTTTGAATTACTTTACATTGGTCCTCATCTTGTTTTATATCTAATTTAACCTTATGATACTACGATTGCTGTTTCCCAAATAGTCCCCCACTGACACTTGAATACTTGACTCAATCGCCCAAATCGGACTTCACTACCTTCATTATTGAGTCAGAAAAAAACTAATCAAGAAAGTTATCTTAATTTCACTTCAGAAACCTGTTCTCACTCTGTGTCCTTTATCTTATCAGTATCATTGTCTATATTAGGAAAACTTTTTTTTCTTTATTCATTCAGGGGATGAGGGCTTCGCTGGCTAGGCAGCATTTATTGCCCATCCCTAATTGCCCAGAGGGCGGTTAAGAGTCAACCACATTGCTGTGGGTCTGGAGTCACATGTAGGCCAGACCAGGTAAGGATGGCAGTTTCCTTCCTTAAAGGACATTAGTGAACCAGATGGGTTTTTCCAACAATTGACAATGGATTCATGGTCATTGTTCAACTCTTAATTCCAGATATTTATTGAATTCAAATTCCACCATCTGCCATGGCGGGATTTGAACCCGTGTCCCCAGAACATTATCTGGGTCTTTGAATTAACAGTCCAGCGATAATACCACTAGGCCATCACCTCCCCTAAAATGACTCTCATTATCATTACTCTGCAGTTTTTTTACTGCCCCATTTAATTTCTATGCAAATTTGTTCCTCTATATCTTTCCCACTAGTAAGTAGTCCATAAAGTACATCCAGTCTATAGAATACATCTCTACTGGTTCTTGACTCTAACCAAATAGATTTTTCCTCAATCTCTCTCGGGCATACCCCGTCTCCAGCAATAATATTGTCCTTAATCAATTACTCTTCTTTTCTCTTTTTTTTCTGAACACCTGAATGTTGGCCAGTACACCCTGATATTCTTTACTATAGTAACAAGGATATTTACACCCATCTGTGCAGGCAGGTGAGTCCTAGGTTTAATTTTTAATTCCAAAGGTAGCATCTTTCCTTCACTACTCCAGGTCGGTATCAATGTAGATTCAGCATGGTGTCAATGTAATGACAGAGTAGGAAGACAAATACCATCCTGGAATTGCATTTGAGGCCTCAGAAACACTTGTTTTGTTTCCTCAACTATTTAATCCCTTCAACTATTGCTTTCCTAATCTTCCTCTACTCCCATACCTGCAGCTGAGCCACTATGTTGCTTGATACTTGGCTCTATCAGTACTCCCCAGAGGAACTACTGTCTTCATAAGATGCTTTAACCATGAATTCTACAGAGGGTAGTATATCACAGCATGCCATGTGATTCTGTAAGAATAAAACAGGTTGGAATATTGATATGTAATGTGAAGGGACAATGTGTATATAGTTAGAATGCAAAGAATGAGCTGAACCCAGCTGACCAAGCGACAGGGCTAAAACAGTGTGTGTAAAACTGCTTTAATATATTTAACTTAAAAATGTTTTATACAAGGACAGAAACTGTGTCATCTAAACAGAAGGATTAGACTGCAAAATACAAATAGCATTGATGAAGTAAATATATTCTGTAGGAAAATACTGCACTTCAGTATGCTACCAAAAGGGTTTCAGGATTCAGTGACCTTACGACTAGGCAAAAGATGGGCTTAATTCACACAGTTTCATGTCCACACCAGTCATGTGACATCTGCTGAGTTATGCTGACCGTCCATTTCGGACGTAGAAACTTATAATCAATTACAAAAAAAAAGTGTGAAGTGGATAGACTCATTACTTGGTTGTATTATCTGTATGTCATCTAATAGAATACAGGGTGGCACAGTGATTAACACTACTGCCTCACAGCACCAAAGACCCAGGTTCAATCCCACTCTTGGGTGACTGTCTGTATGGAGTTTGCACATTCTCCCTGTGATTGCATGGGTTTTCTCCCACAATCCAAAGATGTCAAGGTTAGGTGGATTGGCCATACTAAATTGCCTATGATATGCGGGCTAAGTGGATTAGCCATGGGAAATGAAGGGATAGGGTAGGAGGTTGAGTCTGGGTGGGACGTTCTTTGCAGGATCAGTGTGGACTCGAGGGGCTAAATGGCCTGCTTCCACGCTGTAGGGATTTTATGAAAATCTTCATCAAGTTGATCTGACTTCTAAGTTGAAGATCATTCTGATGCAATACTTTTAGTTGTACCAGTGCCATTATTCTCCCATTTTCTACACTTACCTTCCTGATTCATTGTTAACTTAGAAAACCATAATGTTAGTTTATTGCAGCTTGCCTAATTCTTCTCTTTTCTCTTTTTCTGCAGGTACATAGTTTCCACTAGAATATACAATTAGTGTACAGAAGACTTATGTTACAAACCGAAAAAAAACCTGCAAAGTCAGTAATAAGGCCTGACTGTAAGTGACAGTCAAGTGTACAGAAACACATAATTGAAGCCATAGAGAAACACAGGGAGCAAGGCTATGACTGAATGCACAAGAATACACAGGACCACCTTCACATAACTCTAACTAATCAGAGATGTGATGCAAGAGGCACTGAAATAAAAAGGATCTGTCAGATAGTAAGGTCTACTATAAGAATGGATGTGTGTTGTGTATGAATAAATCTAATTATCAATAAAACTCAATAAAAAGACACAGCAATTGATTTATTCCAAGTTTTGCAATATATTGTATATGTTAATCTATACAGACATTTGTTAATTTAAATAAAAACTATTTCTTACCTTTAGGAGCATCTTGTATGATTTGGCTTATTTGAGTCTTAGTCAACGTTGTTAGTGGTGAGCGAAGTTGCTGTTGAACTGTTTCCACATTCCGTAGATTATTAACCTTGAAAACATAACTACGGGACAGTGCAATCTGTTGGAGCTCACGGTCATCCGCGTCTCCTGAGCCTATACTGAAAGGTGCTACACCAGCCTCTTTCAGAGCTAATGCTGCCTGACCAACATCATCGGACGACTTGCTGGCAGTGATTAGGACCAAGAACTGGGGCACATTATCCTGTGCTCTGCTTCCTGCTGAAATATTGAACACATTCTTTTTGACATGGTCCAAAGCTTTGCCAGTGTTGGCTCGTCTGCCTCCTTTACACTTGAGGTCTCCTATTGCTCTCTTCACCTCATCTTTTGTTGTAAACGTGTTTAAGAGGAAGTCAATTCTGGGATCTTCACTGAACTTTGTAACACTAACTCGGACTTTATCACCTTCAACATCAAGATTGTCGACAACGTTAGAAATTAATCTCTGAACCGATGGAAAAGCATCTTTAGCTTTGTCCGACTCATCAACAAGGAACACAATATCTCTCCTAGCAGCATCTGTAGCAAACAGAAAACAGATTTTGGTTTAGTGCAAACACTTGTGGCTTGAAATTACATTTTTCCAAGGCACGTTTGTTGTTGAGTTGTAAGATTTCCATTTGTAATTGAAAAAATAACTAAGTCAAGATGGTTCATAGATAAAGGAAGATGGGAAGAAGATGAAGGAAATATCCAAGGTAGGATGATTGCACTCAAGTGCCATGAAACATTAATATTGGAAAGGTTGAAAGAAGTCATATTTTCATTGTCGCTTCTGAACCTTTGGGCAACAGAAAAACAAAGAGGAAAACTTTCTTTGTTCATTTGGTGCAACAAAGGTCACAAGTGAACTCTTCGTAAATCTATTTAAAAAGTTGCTTTGCCCGGCACGCATAAAATCTTCTCTCCCTTATTTAGCTTTGCTGTTGAAAGAGAAATGAAAGTCATGTATACTCAGGTCACAATTACTGAAGAAAATTTATGAACATAAGCAGCAGAAATTACAAGGTCAACTGCTTAGCAGGCGGAGTATGCAAGGTTCCAAGGGATATCCAAGGTGTTGGAAAAAGTTTCAGAAGAGTGGTACCTACAATGTAGGTGGAAAGAAATGGTAGAAAACACGAATATTATGATTTACTTGTGGTACAATCATTTAGATGTTTATTTTCACATCTCACAATATAGGCACTTATGGCCGAAACCTATTTTTCTCTTCAGCTGAAAGAAAAACTCCCATGTGCTGCTTTAAACTTAAAGGTTTGGATTTGGTTACCAAGGTTGGTAGTGGGAGTCGGGAAAATCCTCAGCTTCATGGACCATCTCAGCAGCAAGTACTGGCAAATACAGGATCTTCATGGTCGGAGACACAGGCGCAGGCTGCAGTCATACCAGCTTGACCCAGGAAATTGGTTGGAGGCAGCCACAGGGGCTGCCAGCTGCTTACACACATTGTTTAAGAGGTTTGCTTCAGAGCTGGAGAATCTTATCCCACTTACAAATCAAAAGTAAGACAGAAGCACCATCAGTCTTCGCCTCGCATCCCCCCTCTTCATTCTCCATTCTCCCATGTCATGCTCGCTATGCTGGTCTATGACCCTCCATCCACCCTCATGGCCTCTCATGCCCACTGTGATAGTCTATTCCCCCATCAAAACCTATTGCCCCTTATGTTCCCCAGGCAAGGTCATGGCACACTCATGTCCATTGATCCATTGTGTTATCACAACAGTTCTACAGTTTACAATGTTTTAAAGAAGTTAGTCAGTCTTTACTTTCCACTGCAATGAAAAAAGTACTTTTACCATGTAAATTATCCTTTAAGCTCTTTGTGTCAGACCCTTTAAAATAGCAATTTCAAAAGCTGTAAGCACTCGAATCCTCTTAAACTTATATAAGGAAATATTGTGACAGCAAAGATCAGAGAACCGGAGCCGTCAATCATGTTTTCCTTTAGGCTAGGGATTTGCAGCAGACTAATGGGTTTCTGGGCTCTCAGGCAAGTCTCATTATACAGTAAAAGTTCTTTAATCTCCCTACAGTGTTTATTTGCACAACTTTAATTTTTAAACATAGTGGAAATAATAAACTAATGACTTGTTTGAAGCTGTTTTTATTATACACATCCCATTGTAGGTATAGGATTCATTGATTCTTTACAGTGTGTAATGGGTCAATGAACATGAAAGTGCCATATCTTGGCAGAGTAGTGAACATAGGTGCGGTTAGAAGGGAAAAGCCTGGCATAAGGTGCAAAGGGAGCAATGGGGGGAGCATAGCCTGACATGGAGGCATGAGAAAGACCTTTTGAACTTCCCCCTCAATAGGTCCCTTCATATAGATGAGAGTTTAATGATGCATTTGAGGTGCCATGAATCATGATCTCTGTAGAGGTTGGTCTTACTCCATGAAAATTGTGGAGGACGAGGACAACGCCTATCTCCAACAATTAAATCAGCCCGGTGAGGAATAGCATCTGCAGGCTTGTGACTGGAACCAGCCTGCATCCTAAAAAGGCATTCTTTAAACATTGAAAACCTGGGAAGAGGGTTGGGAGTGAATCAGGATCGACTTGCCATTTTCAGAGGGCACTTGTACCATCCCAACTCAGCAAAAAGCATTGTTTGGTTTGTTAGGTCATAATGTATTCAATTGTTTCAAAATGTTTGTGCCAACATTTGTCAAAGGATTTGGAGCCGCTGATATACCAACAACAGAACTGCAAATGAATGTAACAACAATGGTCCTTAAAATATAGGCAACTTTTCATAATTTATATCACGGATTTAGATATTGTTTTTATTCATTTACGGGATGAGGATGTCACTGACTAGGACAGCTTTTATTATCCATCTCTAATTGCCCCGAGAGCATTTAAGGGCCAACTATATTGCAGTGGATCTGGAATCAAATGTAGGCCAGACCAGGTAAGAATGGCAGTTTTCTTCCCGAAAGAACATTAGGGTTTTTCCAACAACCAACAATGCACTCATGGTCATCATTAGACTCTTAATTTCAGCACAGGCACAACAGTCTTCATTCTACGTCATAACAGTTCTATAATTCTGCAATGCTTTAATTATCTAGTACAGAGCTCCACAGAAACACAGTATATCACGGGCATAATTTGAGCTTAAAATATCTGTCTTCTGCACTAATTTGGCTGATCTCGAGCAGAGTAGACTGAACAAAACAACACAATGGAGGACACTGCAGACCTGTACTTGACACATCTTTGATGTAAGTTAAATGTAGCAGGTTTGGTGAGAAGGTGTTAAAATGACAAAACAGCAAATAAAATTACTAGAGGGTACTTTAGAACGACCTTGCATGACAAATGGAGCGATTAGAAGATAAATCAGGAGGTCATTTGGACCAAGGGAAAAAGTGCATGGGTGACCAATAGTCAAAACTGCGGCTTGAATCTCCCATTCCAGTTAGAATAAGATCAATTGCCCACTGTCCCAAGCATTGAATCGAAGCTGCAGTCAGGCCAACAAGAATGCAAATGAAACCTGAAGACCAATCCTGTTAGCTGAAGCAATCCGCGTCTTACAGTATTAATTGAAAGCCATTTGTGAAGAGGCAAAAAGAAAAAAATAAGGGTGGACTTACCATCACCAGGCAAGCTCCCTCCACCATGGCCCACTCGTTCAGAGAATGGGGAAAATTAGACAGGACTCTTCATAAGCGAGTTAATGATTCAGATCTGGGGTGGTGGTATAAGTAATCGGCAGTGGTGGGGGGAGGGGCGTTGTGGGGGGGGATGGGTATATGGGTTGTGGTTGGGGGTGAGGTTGGTGAGGATTCTGGGGAGTTAAGATCTTGTTGGAGTAGAGATAGGGAGGGCACAAATAGGGAGAGCTGAGGGTTAACAAGCTGGCAGAGTTCTATTTAATTGGGAAGGGAAAATACAAGCATTTGAGAAAAAGATTGAGACAATTGCCGCCATTGTGTTTTGCTTCATTCAGCTGATGTAAATCAAAACAATGTTTTTCAATTTCAGAACAGTCTAACAAATGTTCTAAATTGGAAACATATAACTGAAAAATTTCTCCCTTACCTCCCAAACTCTTTTTATGGAGTTGGATTATCTGAACTTTGTCCAGTGTTGTTAACGGTGACTCCAGACGTTGTTGGAGTGTTTCCACATTCCGCAGGTCGTTAACCTTGAAAACAAAACTAGGGGACAGAGAAATTTGTTGGAGCTCACTGTCATCTGCACTTCCTGAGCCGATACCGAATGGTGCTACACCGGCCTCTTTCAGAGCCAACGCTGCCTGACCAACATCATCAGACGACTTGCTGGCAGTGAGAAGGATCAGGAACTGGGGGACACCTTC